CCATAAGATTGATTTAATCAATTATTTGAGGTTTCTGAGGTGCGTCCACCCCGTCACTTAACTTGCTAAAGCAAGAGCAACTCCAGCTAGCTAAGGCTAGCTTTCGTGATAAGGAGTCTTGGTCAAAATGTGTCCATTCCTGGTTGCAAGGTAACCCAATACCGAATACCCCCATACAAAAACGAGGCAAACCAAATGTCAAACTCTCTGCTGGCGATTTTTCCTGTGCCTTGATGACAACTAAGTTTCGGCTGCGGTCGCGCTTCTCCTTGTTAAGGTATGTGACCTGCCACTGCTGCGCCGGTGCTGCTGTGCCAACATCGGAACGAAGCTGCTAAGGTCAAGACACGCGCAACCCCAAGGTAGGGAGCTACCTGGCGGAACAGCAGGGAGGAGGAAAAATGGCTACTGTAACAGTGTTTGGACGCTGGGGCTATAAATGCTATAGCCCACACCATCCTATCTCTTAGCCTGTGGTGGCATAGGCATGTTTTTTGTTCTTTATGATGCTGTTGCATCGCGTTCTACAGAGAAAGTAGTGTCATTTATATAGGCATGAGGACAAAGCTGTCAACATGTTCGGCTGTGGAAGCTTAATGCAAATTGGCCGGTTCTATGTAAAAATATGTTTGTGATGTTGGAGGCGGCAACTCAGCCCAATGCCTCAAACATGCTGAGCAGTTTCACCAGTGGTTTCCCCGCCACAAAAGCCAATCATGCTGAACTTATATATATATAAGATAAGGAGGTACATATATATATATATATATGCGCGGGTGTGTGTGTGTGTGTGTTCCCCGTAGCATTGGTCCTGATCATGGATAAAGTGGGCATATATGCGGTCACACCAACACTCTCAGCAATATTGTAATTGCTGGACAGTTGGACGATGTGGGTTCTGGATAAAGCAACTCATAACTCCACATTTGAGCGTTGGCATGTGTTAGCTGTTAGCTGAAAACTCCAGTTGCAACCTGTTTGTTAGCATGCTTCTTGTTGGGACCCAGACCCAGCGACCGGCAAAATCCCGGCATTGCCTCCTTGGGCATATTCCACAGCCGCTCACGGGCCATGTCAGCCTTCCTCAGAGCGTTCCCAGTTCAGCCACCACGTGTGTGGCCTGAGCCTTGCTGCCCTGAGTGCTCCACGTCTTGGTTGGCGTGAGCGAGACGCTTTCATCTGATGGGCTCTCCTCCACCTGCCAAGGCCGACTGCCGACGGTGGAGCACTCACACGGCGCATGCGACCGCATGCGGCGAGGTGCGCACGGAAAACTCAGGAGAAGCCGCATCCTCGGAAGCCTCCTGCACAAGCTTCATGGGTGCCCCTTGTTCTTGGAACACAGACCTGTACCTATGTCAACCACAGCAAGCCGAAACTCGAATGGTTTTGATTCACAGCCTCAAGATGCTTTGCAAATGATGATGCTACTGCATGCGTCTGCGGGTTCTCCTCCTCAGCGTCACCAAGAAATCCTGCCCAGACCAAAAGGCTTTGGAGCTCCAAGAAGCAGGTAGTTTAATAGATAGGCTACCTCTGCTAAGCGAGAAATTACCTTTCTATGTTAATGTTCACTATTCAGTTGTTCATCCTGCAGTCCCCAGCCCACATGACATCTTGTATCATGTTGCATCTCTTATCTCATCCATCAATCAGTAAATACGACCTGCAGGACTGTAGCCTCAAGCCCTGCCCGGGTGACCAAAGCCTTCATCTGCATCTTTGCCAGCAGCCTGCTCTCATCTAGCGGCCAACCAAACAAAGACCTTCTCAACCCTGGTTGGTCAAGTTCAAAGAAACAAACAACTTCCCAACATCTAAACTCCCCCAAACAAACAGATCGCCTCTCAGAATGGTTTGGAAGACTGTGATAACTTTAACCATAATCATCTTCCAAGAGGTTATGTTCATGTCAGGATACTGCAGATAGGTGGTTGCATCATGTTGCATCCATACATCCAAACATCTGGGAGGCTGCAACCAACAGAAAGAAAAAAGCAATCAAACAGAACTCCAAACAAAACCTCAACATTGAGCACCTCAACAGCAGACTGTTTGGGCAAAAAAACACTCCAAACAGTGCCCAGAAGGCCGCCTTCGGCACGTGGACCGCTCGTTGAACTCGTCCAAGTCGGACCTGGCCGGTGGTTGTGGTGCCCAAATGTGCCCAAGGACCCAAACAAAAGGACAGAAACTGGACCGAAACTCCCGAAAAAAGCGGAGAGATGCCCATGTTCGGATCACAACCATCAAACCCATTTTTCAAAGCCGGCGCAGTGACTATAGTATCTATAGTCACTACCTGTGCTTGGCAGCCGGCATCGAGGGCTTTTGATTCACCAAGTCTCGACGTTCTAAGTCTCGAGCGGGTGAAGCCACAAAGGCGCTGGGACCTCACCGGTGGATCCAAATGGATCGACTGGAGCAAAGAAATTGCATGCACCAAGAGGATCAACATTTGTAGGCATTGTTTACAACAGGATGTACATAGATTTATCACAGAACCAGTGGCCTACCAAGTCAAAGATGCAACATAGAAGTAGAATGAAATATACATATAAAAATGAACATGAAATAGAAAGGTTTTTGTACAGTAGGTTTTTTGACACTTCAACCAGCCATGCGATCTCACCAGTGGCCTACAAAGCAGTGAGCATTCTGCCGAACAAGGCGAAAACACATGTTGATAGTTACCAAACCCAAGCAGAACCACCAATGTTGGGGCTCGCACGTCCTGGTGCTAAAAGACATGCCACAGCAGCCAGGGCTGAAACCTCGGTATCACCAAGCAAAAAGAGATTGACCATGACTCTGGAGATGCTGAAGCTCAGGACTCTGAGAACTCTGGTTCTCAGGGGAGTTGGATGATCCTGCCCTGCAAACACCCATTCAGATGTTGGCAAAGGTCAGGTCTGGCCTTCAATTTCTCACAAAAATGCAAACCTGCCTGCGCACTTGGGCTGGCTAGGTGGCATGGCTTCAATGGCAAATGCCTAAGAGTACAGTATTTCAATTTGATGTGCTTGATATCGCACGGTGGCAGGATGTAGTACGGAGCTATACACATGTTCTGGCATTCCGTTCAACTCTCATAGCACACTGTTTGAGTTGCTCGGGAATGAAACTGGCTACCGCGGGTTGTGGACTCCACGGAATTCAGATTGGGAGTTGTGGCTACACTCCCCGAAATTATCATGGAAGTGGAGTTCACCACTTGTTTGGTCTTCAGACAATAGCCATCCAATCCAAGGGGCCGTTATCCACTTCCATGATTGTTTCAGGGAGTGTGTGCGTGCGACACTGCTTGGACCCCTGTTGGACCCCTGTCTGCCCGCCGCCAGACCTCGAGCCAGTGGCGCCTGCACAAATGGACTTGGCTGACAACCGCGCGAACTAAATCAAGCCCTCCTCAGAAACGAGCGTACAATTCCAGAGTGTTGTTTTAGTTTTGGGTGTCACGCCCCGTCACCGCTGTACTAGCTGTATGCCTTTATCGTTTTTGAGCACAATTGCTCCCAATTTCGTGTGATATTTGCGGTGATTTGTGGTTTCATGTGATTTCTGCGGGGGAAACGTTATATGCATTTCAATGCTAGCGGGTTGAAATTTTGGGACGCTGTGCAGACCGCAACACCTGTCGGAAAACGAGACTTACTGACAAACACTATGGTTGAAAGAAACGTCGACAACTTGTAGCAAGAACCAACCTACAAACAGTGTATATTATGTGGCTGTCTGTGCAAACACAGCTGAGAGCAAATTCACACCTACGGAGCGTCACGTGTCAATACAGCTGCATTGGCCGCACTTCGGCCGCTGAAGTCTCTGCTTCGGCTGAGATGATGAGAGACCAAGTGTGACTGCTGTGCAAAGCGTGCGACATCCTTGCAAAAAGCTTGCCAGGGAAACCAACTGTCGTAATGTTTCGTTGTCAGATCAAGCAACCCAAGTAACCCGTCAAAAGCAAAAACGGCTCACACGACGCGGTAGAATCGGGGTAAACCCTCTGTCTTTCCGCCATCAGCTGAGGTTCTGTGGAGGATGGAGGATGGGCCACAACCGATGAAGAAGTGCCACACCATGCAGCGATTTGTGCGCTGCCAACACTTCAAGGCATCACGCGTAACAAAACTTCCCGAACATCCAACTGACCTCAGGCCGAATGATATGAAAGGCATCTTTGCTCTATCCTTGAACAGCTGCCGGGGAAATGCATGATCAGCAACATTCAGCAACTATCCGAACTATCAGCATGCTTATTAGAGCACTTCCGGCGGTGCTGATCTGAAAGCACACGCAGAAACAAAATATGGTCTGTCAGATATTGCAACATGGCCAGATGCTAAAGGTTGTCGGACCAACTAGAATCCAAAGTGTTTGTTTGGCTGTCACAAACATCGTTATTGGCAGTTTTGTGGTCGATTGCCGATGGCCAACACCAGGGCCCCCTAGCATCCCCTAGCCATGGCCCGGCTAGGTCTTCTAAATGACGAACAGGGGTAAAATTCTTAGCAATGCATGGATTACATTACAAACGCCACTTACATTCATGAATTGCAACCTACAAACAATGTGAGAAATTCAATGGGAGTACTACAATGCTCTTCCCGCCATTCCCCTTCTACCAAAATCCCTGTCAACATCTTGCAAAAGTTATTGTTGTTGTGACGTCGGCATAAACTAAGCAAGCCTTGAAACACAACCCTGCATAGAACATGTTGATAAACGGCCACGGGCAGAAACACATGTTCGTTTTCCGCCGATCCGACATCAATTTAAGCAGTCTAGTCTTGGCAACTTTAAATTGTGTTTATGTGTCAGGCTCATCTAGCCTGAGCCGGGTGTCCTCCAAATAGCAAGTGGGTATCCAAATTTCTACCCGTCCGGTAAACTCCAAAGCACAAGCTGGCAGCTTTTTCCACGGACTCGCAGCATTTGCTGCAATTTGCAAACAATCAGCAATCAGCACTTGCACGCATCACGTGGCATCCCATTCAAAACCATACTAGTATGATAGCAAATAGCACCAAATTCAATTACCAGGCTCCATGCGCACATTGCAACCAAGCCAACAGGTCAAAATGCTAAATCTTCGCTTATGCTATTTTTCACTTTGACTGACCTTCCACGTGCAACAAGCTGCGGTTCTAAGAATCACGAAGCTTCAAGGCAACCTTCAACGGACGCGATCGTTTTACTCGAACAACTCTCACCTTGTCCTAAAGCCCCTCCAGAAGCTTAAAGCTTCAAAAAGCACACACACCAGAAACTCAAACAGGTTGTGGTTGCCAGTAAACTGGCACGCAGTCAAATAGCCTACCACGGTTAAGCGCACCCAGCTCAAAACCCCGGCCCTTCTGCTTTTGAGGTGTCCTCACTGAACCAACACAATTTAACAGTAAAACTGTGACAAGTCCTTTATTATTACGCCAAACAGGTTTTGTAACACTTAGCTACTCCAAGTGCAAAGCGGTGGGACCTAGGTATACCAAGTGTTGGACGTTTTCCTGGCCAAAAAGATTTGGCTGGATAAATGTTGACGGGTTTTCCTGGCCAAATGGATTTGGCTGGTCAAATTGCGACGGTTTTTTGAAAAACCAATCACATTTTTGGTGGCCAAATCCATGTGGCTGAGTGGTTTTGGCCAGAAAACCCATCACGATCTGGAAGCTTGACTGGCCCCAGAAAAGCGCTGGGCTTTTCAAAAAATCCATCACAATTCCATAAGCTTTAGAAAAACCCATCACAATTTGAAGTTCGCAGTGAGCTAGAAAGTCTGACGGGTTTCCATGTTCCTTACTTAGTTGCGACGGGTTTTTCAAAAAAACCATCACATTTTAGAGTTGGGGCCCGTATCTGAAACGTGACGGGTTTGCCTGGCCAAATCAATTTGGCTGGTAAAATTGTGACGGGTTTTCCGTCTCCAACCCAATCATTCCCGCAAGGCCCCATTGATCGAGCTTGGCTGGGCGCAAGGCACTGAAGCTTCGGGCGCACATTGCACCTACAAGCTTCAGGTGTTTGCATCCGACTGCTCCAAGCATAATCTTCCAATCCTCCTGAGCACCAATACAAGGTAAATGTCAACTCGAGAAAGTTTCACACGTCCAAGCTGGGCATATTGAGCAATCAGCATATAAGCGCAGTGGTTGGCGCTTCCAGCTGGCACAGGCAACCCTCGGTGCCGCACAGACCTACATCAACACATGACTCCGCAGAGGGTCGAGAAAGATCTTGCAAATAGTGTGAAGTACGAGTTGGGCCTATTGAGGTTGCAGCGTCCCGGTCAAAGTCAAGCCTTTCTTTTTGCAGCTCCGAAAGGTCCACGTTCTCCATCCAAGTGCTTTAAAATCTTGAAGCGAAAGCTCTATCAAAGTGTGGTGCAAAACTTTTGAAATAGTGGTGCTTGGCTGTGGCGCCAGAAGCCGTGGATGATGTTCGTGGTGTGAGGAAGGAGATGGTCTCCGCGGACTCTTCACACGTAACGTCTCCATCATCATCATCATCATCATATCTCCACGCTGGCATGGCTGCCCACTACGAAGGAATCTAAATTCTTGAAGTTCCATGACTGTATATATAGGTCAGTCTTGCGTGTATCAAGCGCATGTGGATGTTGCCTCATTGCCTCATTCTTAGAGCTCTTTGCTCCCAAGCAGGACCAAATAAACTACATGGCTGTGTTACATGCTTTTAACGGAGCCAGCAAGAAACTTGACAACAAGGTACTATTCCAAATCAAACACCCACTTGCTATTTGGAAGACACCCGGTTCAAGCTAGATGAGCCTGTATGGACTGTTCCATGTCTGCGTATCTTACGAGATCCTTTGCACTTGGACACTGGGTAAATTGCACTATTGTGTCTGTAAACCACAACGGGATGGCATATCATAGGCTTCCTCCTCATGCCATCTGTTTGATATTCCCTATGTATGTCACAGAAATGCGTCACCATACGCCTCATCACACTGAAACATCGTGCACATCGCCACGCGATGCCATGCCTCTACAGCCTTTGTGTTGAGTCCACAGGTCATGCGCTACCAGAACTGGGTTGTGAGCGTGCAGTGGGGAAATATGCTGCGACTGTTTCCTTCAGGTAACTTGGCAGGATGAGCTTCTTTCTTTGCCACGGGTTCAACTCCAAAAACGATACAAACAACAGGAAACTGGTTGCACCCTACCGACTTTCAAACTCCGAAACAAACATGAGCTGAAAAAATACACCAAAAATTCACCATTTTGCACGAGTCACGGGCGCGAGCGTTCTGTCCAGCACGATGCACAGGGTTGGCAGAATCTCAAAGGAGCGGTTGGCGATGGACACACGGACAGCGATCGGTCTGCTTCAAGCACCACGCGATGATGGTTTATTTTCCGTATTTTCAGCGGCTGCCCATCAAATGTATAATTTGGAAAAACCAAGCCCAAACAAAAAAATGACATTATTCATCCATTGTGCATGGATAGGTTGCTTGCAAACTGGACTGCACAGTGAGGTGCTCAAAAGACAAGGGGACAACTCTTCTTGCTACCAGTTGCTTTTTGGTGGTGATTGCACACAAACGGGGCCGACACTCAGCATTTGAGCCGCATGCCCATTGAATTTGTTCACTCGGAGCTGATTTATGACCTCTTACATTGAGAACACCAAGTGAGCCAGCTGCGGGTGTCTTTTGCACGTCTCAGTCCCCCTACTTTCATTACTTGTTCATACTGTTTCGATCGATCTTTCGTGGCGATCCCCCTCTTTTTGGAACGGTTTAGCGCGTTTTTTCCACGTCCCGCAGGTACTGCTGGAGCGGCCGGAGCCACACTGGGACTATGATGACTGCGTTGGCAAATGGGGGAGAGATGTGCATCGGCGGAGCCAATTGGGTTTTCTGTCACCTTGCCCTGCTTCAACAACAGCGAAATAGGCATCAAAATGACCAAGGCAACGACCAAGGAATGACAAAGTGATAACTCATGCTAACTAACGAATACTCACACCAAGGCGGTCAAGGTCACAAATTCTGAATTGATGCATTGCGACAAGTCTGCGCCAAGCGAGGCCAGGTTCACCATACTTCACTAGAATCCAAATCCTACTTCGAAACCATCATGAAGGTGCCATGGCTTGCATTGTCGGTCCTCGCTTTTTTTGGGGGGAGGATGGTTCTAAGAGCCAATAGCTACCTCATCTGTCGACATCAAAGCTCAGCCATGCCCTTTCTGGCCAGTCAAGCGCTCCTCAATCAAGCTGAAATGAAACTCTGCACATGGTCTGCCATGCGTCTCCTGCACACGCCGGTCCACAAGGGCGTGCAAACGGTCCGCTTCCTTTTTGGCCGCCCTGGCTGTGGAGGCGTGGGCGTGAGCAGTACATATTGGACACACACACGCACACCCGAGCGAGAGACTGCAAAATCTTGTCCCTTTGAATCTCGCCGATCCTGAGACACACTTGGAATGTGAGGCAGCGTTCCCCACACCGGACAATGGGGTGCAATGTTTGGTTTCATCCTTCCTGGCCTTCTGATTAGATCTTCCAGTGTTGCATCTTCACCTGAAAAGCAGAAAGCTGAGCCACTTCATCCTAGTCCTAGTTCATCTGGCAAAACAAGGCCGCAACGCATCTCCGCCAAAAGGGACTCAATGTTTTCCTGGGAGGCATCCCACCCAGTGACTTGCCCATTTTTGTTGCTTCAGATTGCTTCAGGCACCTGCGTAGGTGGTAGCTTGCATGAGTGCTTACCTCTTCCTTCCGTTTCTTCTGCCCGGTCTCTAGCTCTTTCTCCTGCTGTTTGTGTCTTTCTCTTGCTGTTTCCGCTGGGTCCCTTCCCACTTTCTCACTGTGCTCTTCCTTCTATTCTTTTCACCGTATCTTCATCCGAACTTGTTCAATCAATCCTCTCAATCCCGCTATGCGTATTGAGTGAGGTTTGCATGCCAGCCGACTACTGTACAGCGGAAAGTGCCCTTTTCAATAACACAACGTCAAAAACTGACGAAACCTCAATCCCAACCAAACCAATGCTACCCTGCGCACCAATTTACTTTTTACAGTTGTTCATCTCGCAATCGTTTCCTGGGTCTGCTTTTCCACCATGGTGAGTTGGAACCTGAGCGATGAGGCTGGTTTCGTTGGGGGCGGCGATGGGTGTTTGTCTTCTCTGCAAGCCAAAGAACTGGGAGCCAACACCAATGTCTTGCTCAAGCGGTGGCGAGCACTCCGAGCACAGACCAAAGTTCGCTACAGTGAGCCAAACAAGCGCACGTTTCAGTTCACTCGCACTGAGGAAAAGATAGAGAAGCCCAGAAAAGCACCCTGTCCACGGAGGTTTTCTTCTTTCCTGAATCTTCCTTCACTAGTGCCCAACCGTGTCCTTACTGGATTTTTATCCAAGATATCAATTGAATCTAAGGCTTATATAATTAACCTAAGGACTTGGGAACACTTCAACACTCAATCTGGTCAATTGCCGAGACAAACTTCCTCACAGCTCGCTGAAGAGTCTTTCTTTCGACTTTGAAGCCTGAGAGACCGGGCCTAGTGACGCTTCTTGAATTAGGGCGGAAAACTGGAGTGGGTGAAACTCGAAAACCGTTTTGATTTCGCCACACATTGACATTCAGTGCAGGCCCTTCTGCGGGCAGCTTCGAAAGGCGAGATATTAAAAAATAACCGAAGTGCAAAATCAGCCTTTCCGAGCAGCTCTCAACTGTGCCTGCAAATCAGCACTATACAAGTCTTCATCGTCATCGAGGATGTCTCCCTGGTTGTTAGCTGACGATCTTGCTTCCAGCAACTTCTTCTCTCTCAGCTCTTCTAATCTCATCTCTTCTTCCATTGCTTCAATCCTGGCTTGCAGCTTCTCTGCGCTATCTCTCCCACGTAGTGTGATGGATGCATATCCCTCACCAGCATCGTCCATCTTGGGTCCAAGGGAGAACACCCAGCGCAGCAAAGCCAGCACACCAATCGGCACTATAAGTAAGAAGATGTTGAAACCTGAAGTCGTCTCACCATCATCATCTGCCAAAGCCCTTTGTGCCAGAGCACCATCTGCCAATCCTAAAGGGAGCGCTCCTTGAGAAAGTCTTCGCCAGAAGTTGGAGGTAAAAATGATAAAACCTCCCTCCCCAATGCCTCTCTCACGTGCGAGAAAAATAAGGCACAAAAGCACCAAAAGAAATCGCAATCTAAAGCGTTCCTGCTGATGGCGGAAGTTCTTGCCAAATCTAAAGCCCATCTGATGATATTGAAAGAGTGAACGCTTTGCGTCCCTTTCCAGCTAACTGCAGCCCACACCCTTTGAACCAAAAAACTCTGAGCTCGGGCTCAGGCTCTGCAGGCAAAGAGTTTGACCTTTAGTTTGTTCGCAACAGCCCCCGTCGCAAGCAGTGGGTTATGCCTATACCCATTTTTCCGTTCAGCGCTCAGCATGTTGGAATCAAGCTAACACAGCTAACACTTGGAGTCCCCTCTACTACGCGCAGCTCTTCTGAACACTCCCATACTCCTCGCAAGAGTGTGGTAGAAAAATGTGGCTTTGTGACAACTTGTGAAGCCGGTCTGGAGATTCCAGAATGGATCCAGCCACCCTCATTCCCTACAGTGCTACACACAAGCCAGAAGAATGTGCAGAAACTTTGCCGAAGCTTTGCCGTTTTTTGGAGGTCCTTGGGCTCGTCTCGAGGCTTCAAAGTCTCGGCCTTGGTCAAAAAGGATCGGTTCCCAACGAGTCATTACACATTATGACTGAATGAATGTCTCGCATCTCGACAAAGTCTCCAACTTAACCTCCAACGAGTTGATAAAGGACTTAACACACATATATATATTTACATTAATGTATATATATATATTTTAAATATATATATATATATTAATATATGTGTGTGAATGCGTGTGTGAAACCCTTGGAATCACAGGGCACCTGCTGGTGTTTCTTTAGAACGGGGTGGCAGCAGGAACGAGCGTCTGCCACCAACGAAAACACTCTCGCTTTCTTTGTGGTACTGGGGCTGATCATCCCAGCGTACCTGCGTTGCACCTTTCACTTCCTAATGGGCTGTGGTTTTGACAACAAGATTCCCAGCCTTTGCACCTGCTTTGAGTTCTGCAAACAAGTGCTCGCTGCTCGGATTCTCGCCGACTTCTTTGAGTTCATGCCGTTAAGAATGTGAGGACTTGTCAGGTTCATGTTCAAACCATCTTACATACTTCTACCCTGACTTCTTAGGCTTTCATGCCTGGCGTGTGGCTAGTGGCTTTCAGTTCAGTACGCATTTCCCGAGTGTGTGTATTCTATGTATATATACATATATTATGTTATACTACATTATATTAAAAAAACAATTGTATAGATAATATTCTAGAGCATGTATATGTATCTATATATATTACATTACAATATATGTATATATATATATATGTATAGTAGATGACACATGAAACTTGTCGGTGAATGGGTCCATGAATCCGACATTTTTTCCTCTTCACTCCGGCTACTCGGATCCCTCGAATCCGTCGGGTCTCCAGCCTCCAAGTCAAAGGCACCCCATTTGGGCAGGGCCAAGGGCGCACAGATCGCCACCAGGGTGAGCAGGAAAATGAGAGAGCCTGAAGAGTGGGGCCATGGTGCCATGGATTCTTCGAGCGCTTTCCACAGCTTACACTGTTTACATCACGGGCATCATTTTCGAAGTTTCATCAAGTTGTGACAATTGGGCATCCGAGAGGCCAATGAAAAAGTCGAAACTTCCGGTCAAAGATTTGCTCAGTTCAAAGACGAGCGGTGCACCTGAGTCATACAAATGACAAAACAAATAAAACACTAAGGATCGAGTCTCAGAATCAACAACTTCCATCATGTAGAGTCTCGATTCATTTGAAAAGTTGGTTCAGTCCAAGTGGGGGGCGGCGATATCAATCAAACGTCCCTACGTAGTTCGCCTACTGTTCGGCGTGGAACCACGCCGTATGAAGCACGTTTCAACGCCCCACTTGCAGAGTCGGACGCACTACCTAGCACTTCCAACGGGTGCCCTGTCTGGAGACCTGTAAGTAGGGTGGGGTAGTCTATTGGACACCTGGATGATCCTCATCAAAGCCGTTTGCAGTTTCGCCGTGTGAATACTTACACTGAGACATGCATGATCGTGCATGGCTTGATCTTTGACACAAGCATATGACTACTAACAGGATCAACCAGGGTTCAACCTCGCAGGCACTGCTTCACTCTGAAGCGGGGCACGCAGATGGGATGCTAAACAACGGATGCAAAAGGTACACCACATTCGCAACCCATCCATCTACCCGCGCAGCCATCTGGAGAGTACAGCTGCCGCGCAGCCATCCCACTAGTCACTAGACATCAACCTCATCTCATATCAGTGTGAGTCTGATTGTCAGTCCTGCAAATCAATCTCAATGTCTTCTTATTATCATATCTTATCGTATCAATGTCTCATATGGCTGTGGGTCAAAACCGGAACCCTGGCTGACAGCGGAAAATGAACAGAATGGACTACAAAGTAGAGAGACCTCCTAAAAGACCCCCTCGAAGAAGGAAAATAGACCAAAACCATCCAAAAACCATTGGTTGGGAGTCTCCCCATTAAGCTACACACCAATAAATTCAATATAGCTATTTAAATATATATATACATATACACACATCCATCCTTCGAGCACTCCGCCGCCTCCGGCATCCCGAGGCACTGATGGACCCCATCCGCCCTGCCGCTGTGCAGAAGCCCACCTCGGACGAGCCAAAATGGCAAGGGCCGCCACAACGATCAAAAAACGGCTGTTGAAGAACCTTCTGACGGGAGTCAAAGCAGCTTAAGGTCCGCCCAAAAAAGATCCAGACCCATCCAAACTTGAACCTCTTTTACTACTCGCCTCCTCCCGTCTTGGGACGGGACCGCCGTTTGGCGCACGTGGGTGGGAAAGGCTGCAGCGGTGTAGGCCACGGTGAAGACGAAGAAGGACCTCGGACGGTCAACAGGAGTTGGGAGTCCATGGGAGGTTTTGGTGGTCCGGAAAATGTGATGCGTTTTTTTCATGTGTTTTTCTCCTCGGGCAGAAGCAAAGGCTTTCCGATGTTTCTTCACCTTCATCTACAGATCTGCAGATTCTTGTGGGGTGAGGGGAGTAGATTTTTCCAGAAATAGGACCCATCCTGGACAGTAGATGCCTTTATGGCCTCTATATCTGGCTTCCTTTCCAAGAGGATTCGTAGATTGCTCGCTCCTGCATTCGTCCAATGCAGTGAAGACAGCTGAGCGTCGCACATCGCAAAGATCTTGACCAAATATGCTGCTGGGGCAGCCTAATTGTGCTGGCAGGTAACAAAACAACTGGTTTCTTCCTTGTCAGCCTTGGTCCGACCAAGCTTCTGACGAGGCTGACCGGAACTCCCTGTAGCATTCCCAAAGCGAAGAGGCTGCCTGTGCAAAGCCACCCAATGAGAATGCAGGGGAACCCCCGCAGTTCTGTGCATTCTTTCTCTGCTACAGAGCGAATGACCACTACAGGTCAGGTCTTCGAGTGGTGCAGGAGCTCAGTTCTTCAAGTCTTGATGTGTTTTTGCTCACCTAGGGCACCGCTGCCGGACAGCAAATACACCAGTGATACCTGGCAAGAAGCTGCAGAAAGAAAACCCTGGACATACACCAACCCAGTGATGTGATGAGACAAGTGACAATATGACAAAAGGATATACAAGGGATGTATTGCCATAGATGAATGTTGAAAAATGCCATAGGCTCACCCCTTGGACTCGTGAGCAGAGGTATGTCAATGCCACACCGGGGAGGGCCAGCGTCGCAACCTCAATATCAACATCAAAAAAACAAACCAAGCTCGAAGTGAAATTCATGTGATGCACGCAAAGATCGTGAATTCACACCCCCTGAGGTCAGCATAGATCCGCAAAGAGTTGCAAGTTGGCTTCTGTGGTGCCAAAAACCAGGCATTTGGAGACACGAAACAAGGGCATTCTCGGGGCCGCGCCACCAAGAGTTCCACTCCGGCCTCGGTTTCCATCGGTTTCCGCTCGGTGCACTCGGCGGAACCGCACATCGTGACGCTCAGAGCATCTGGCGACCAGCCCCTTCAGGAAGGCGAAATACCTACAAAACGCAGAAGCAAAGAACGTTGGCCAAGTGTGGGTATACCATGTACCTGGTGCGCTACTTAAAGATGGAAAACTCAGATGTCCATTCGTCATATTCTGTAACAACTGCCGGCAGTAGACCGAAGTCTCTTGCGGCAATGGGCAGCAATGAATGCAAACAAGTTGCTGAGGCAGCATGTATGATAGGCCAAAGACACTGAAGTCCTCAAAAAGGCAACAGGATAGGCATTGGTGATGGGAAGAAGGACACGCTCTTTTTCCGGCCCATCCTCACCTGGAGGCGTGAATTGCCGTTCAAGGGAGCTCCCCAGGTTTACTTTAAAGAGATGAACGTCAAGAGATGGCTACCTGGTCAACAGTTGAGTGAAACAAGGTTGAACCAGTACACCAAAGGCATGTTCAAAGGAAATGTGTTAAGTTAATTTAGGTTATTATGCAATACAGACTGATGTTCTTCATGTCATGGAGGAAAATAACACTTTGGCCCAGTCCTTGGCCACATGAGCCAAGCACATGAAGGCTGCAATGGAACAGTAGTGTTCCCACAACCTGCAGCCGCTATGCAAAGCTCAATGATCAACCACAAAAAGCTCTACAATGCTCTACAGCTCCTTTCAGGCCTTTCGGATCCTTTCGGATCCTTTCGGTCTTGGTGAAAAACCTTTGGCACCAAGACTTGAGGAAGGCCAATTCGCTTGCTGAGGCATCCACAAGTGCACTGCGCTGAGGAAGGAATAGCTTCGGCTGGGCGACTCGGGGGATTCACCTCACCGGACGCCATGGCGGGTCACGGCGCCGAGCGAACTCGGATGCGTTGGTGTGAACGGTGTGAAGTCATGGGTGACCACGGACACGTTGGAGTGTACAGCAACGAGTCGTTGGAGTGTACGGCAATGGCCACATCATGGTCTGTTGGGCAGGTTCACTGCGCCAAACTGAGGTTGGCTTCACTGGGAAGGACAAGCCGATGAGTTCGGCGCGCCTTGTGTTGCACCAAATGCCGAACCTGAAGAAGGCCGCAAGTCAATACATATGATCAAAACTTGTACAGTATGGGGTTCAATTTTGGCAAGAAGTCTCAGGTTGAATGAATCAGCACTTCTCACACATATTGAGGGCACCCTGAGTCCACCAAAAAGGTATTGCCTTTATAGAGACCCACCAGAAGAGACAACAAGTTGACAGCATGTCGTAAAGTCATCACCTTCTTCGTGACCTTTACTCGATCATGTGATGAAGGCGTGGATATGGTGAGGGATGCAGGTGGTTTAACTATTTTAAATTGTTGCAGGAAGCAGTTCTGAATCACCAATGAAGTGAAGCACTCATCTCAGTGCAGGCTGTTTACTTGACAAGCCAGCGACTTGACTAGCAATCAAGACTTGACCGAGGAAGAGAATAAAATCATGCATGCCATTAAAAAAAAACTTGACAGACTACTGAAGCCATGCATGCCATTGGAGAACTTTCCCTCTAAAACAAGCTCGGCTCCTGGCGTAATCGCTCCACATCCAGTCTCCCACCGTTCAGCGCTGCCTCAGGTGGAGCTGCGCCGAATTCGACCGGTCGCGGGGTCGGTCGCGGTCGCGGTTGGAAGCGAGCCGTTCGCCCTGGGACGCCCGTGCCATGCGCCGCAAGACCTGGAGCACCGAAGGCACCGGACATCGTCCGGTGTCACGGACCGGGTAGCCCGAGGTGACGTTCGCCAACAAGATCTCAAATGATAATTTAGACATTCGGTCAAGAATTCCCATAATTTAGATATGATTAGAGTGCATCATGGTATCCGTTTCCTGTCGTTGGTGGCCATGGTCATTCGGGGAATACAACATCAAACAACGGCACAGGGCATACATGCTCTTGCTTAAACATGATTTGGATCGGTTTGGATACAGTTTTTGGCTGTGGGTCAATACCGGGGGGACCCTGGTTAACCACCAAAAATTAACATACCAGACTACAGACTACTAGACATGGTCAACCTACTAGGGTCAACCAGGCTCCGGGTTGAACGACCCACCGCCACTTCTCAGCTGCACCTGCTCACACTCATCGTAGCGTCCCGAGCTGGCCAAAAATTGCGGCGACTCGTCCAGGAATCTGCACGCCTCGTCCCGAGCATGCCGCAACTCGCGACTTGTAAGCCGGCTCAATGTCAAGCGTCACCACTTGGGCGCTGGCAAGGATGAGGAAGAAAAAGGCAGGAATTGCCTCGCTAGCTTTGCAAGTGGTAGTGCCACGGCTAGCATATCAAAGCCCAAGCCTCCTTTTTTCAGCATCAAACCCCTCGTTCGCCCTACATCCCCAAGTCCGCGGCGCTCATCTCGCACAAGGTCCTCCATGCACAGATTTCTGGCCTGGAACATGAAGCAGTTGAAGCTCCGGCATGTTCAATTGTGACGTGACGCAGGGTCATCGTGGAAACAGCAGCCATGTCATGCCATGCTTAGACGGTGGTCCCATAGGTTGTGAGGCATCCTCTGCACATGAGCCACCTTTCTGAGTGAGTCGGGAATCCAAACTCTGATTTGGTTGTCGCCTCAGAACTCTAAACATACCAAACATCTTCTGAACATGCACCTTCTTAGCATCCCAACATCTCGCCAGCTGATCATCCCATCCCAACACCGGAAGCTTAGCTGGGTGGACTCTTGAAGCGCCATGGACGGATAGTAGGAACTGCTGCAGCCTCGGTTCGGTCCCGGAGGTGCCCCCGGACCGACGGGACCAGAGGGAACAATGCCAGACACCATAGATTGATATACTATATTATATACATTTATACTTATACACTTATTATACTAAGGTATACTATTATACCTTTTCTATATATGCATTGTATGATTGTTCACTGGGGGAGTGGTTTTCCCCTCAAAAAAGATCCACCTAACTTTGCTAAAAGGGAATACAAAGGATCTCTACTGAGGCCCTCCCCACATCTCCCCACCGCCCCGGCTGGGGCGCCGGCCACGGGCGGAATTGTCCAGCTCCGGATCCACGAAGAGGACCTGGATAGGGACGGCATCTGGGGCATTGAGGGAAATGATGCCTAGAGAAGCAGAAGAATCCCACTAGTGAAGTCCTTGACATCTAGCGCAATGTGCATCTTGCTGCCATATTTGTATATGTTTATATTGCATGTGAATGTGTGTGTGTATGTTCTTCCATGAAAGCCCTTCATGGAAGGGATCCTGCACCTCCCTAAAAGCCAGGAAGCCTTGGCTTCAAGGCTGGAATCTCCAGTGATGCCTTGTGAATGTCGCTTGTGACGTCGTCATCTGCTGAGGCCTATGCCACTAAAGCACCAATCAGCTCACCCAGTGGCATGAAACCGATCATCAAGGTGCTTAAGCTGCTTCTCCAGTGGGAAGGGGCCACCTGCATCGCCCAGCCACGGTCTAGTCCAAGTCTCCCCATCCTAACATATCCTATTGAACCAAGAAGGACTAAGTGGAACATGGAGTCTACCAGGACGAGCTACCACAATCTAGCTTCGATATCATGTGGGCTGCTGTTCCATTTGGACGCCGAACTCGTATTCTTCTCTTGATCCAGGGCACGGGCATAAATACATGGATGCGCAAAAAAGAATCAGTTCGACCATCAGTTCGACCTGGGAGGTCCTTTATTAAATCCTATAGTAAATGAGACGTCCACATCAACGAACTCCGCCGGTTGCGCCTCTCCAGCTGCGATTCCACCCTTCGACCCCAACCTCCCGCAACGCCTCGGGCATGAGTGAGTAGGCCGCGGGAAAGCCAATCCCACAACCTCAGGGGCCACGCGGAGGTCCCTCGCACGAGTCTGCCGGAGTCGCACTGCGCCTGCGCCCACGAAGAACCGGAGGCAAAGCATCAAAGCCGGCCTGCGTGGCCCGGTCGGCCGCCCCGGTCAGCCCATAGAATAAGCCGCACACACCATCTGGCTTGGTCCGTGCTACACACGATCCATGGCTACATATATCCCATGAAATGATCCATGGAATATCCCAGCTACACACCATCTGGCTCACAAGTGACAGATCACCGGACCCTCCGGAACAGGCAGTCGCAAAGCCAAAGAACGCGATCATGAAATACCTGACGATGCAGGAAGCCATGGGAAGCCGGGAATGCCTGAAGTTTCCAGGCTAGCACACTCCACAGTACAGGGGTAAGCTTCATTCATCCACTCATGCTTGTGTCTACACTTCTCGCGTGGCATATTCCTTACAAACCTCGGGCTGAGCCAGTGGCGAAAGCAGAATGGAAGCACGACGTCCAAATCGATCCCCGATCTGCCCTGACACAAAGTTTCCAGCCTCACATCGCAGGCTCCGTTTGCGCACGAGTTCCTCATGCTAACACCATCGTGCTAACACCACTCGTGCTACTAACTCGTTCACGTCTGCCACTCACAAGCAACCATCCAAAAGCAGCTTTGATGTAAGCACGCAAGGTTGCCGGGAGTGCAACCAAGTGGCAGAAAAGCCAATGAAAACCTCAGCCATCGACTCCAGTTGATGCGAAGAAAAAATGAGAGTGATTTACTCGCCTTCGGCGCTGTACTGCTCTGCTGTGATTCTTGTGAAGATGAGGCCTCCATAACTTCAACCACCTTCTTTGTTGGAATCTTTAAATATAGTAAGAGGATGTATAAAAGGTTGGGTATAAACGGTATATCTCAGTCGGTGGATGATGATGGTTTGTAAAGGCTTTTCTCAAACATAGGGATTAAATGCGACTAACTTGTTGTTGACTGTCACTGCCAAATAGGACATGCCAAAAACGGGATATCTGCAATGAGGCGCCAGGACCACCCCCTCACTCATCTTCTTCTCCGAGAGGCAATGGACACCATGCCACCGCGGACCACCGGGTCGAGCCCCCAATGCCGATGGAGCAATGATGTGATGGAACCTGTCGAAGCAGGGGAGAGTGGTGAGAGTGGGAGAGTGCCTTCCTTTTCGACGAGCCTCGCCCACGCTTGAGAGGTGATACAAACAATTGTACCAACTCACTTTTGGATACTGCTACCTGATGCTACTTGTATCTGTAAACAAATCGATGCGGCTCCAAAAACGCACACAAGCAAAAAGTAAAACAAATGAAACAAGACAGTACTGTTTAAAAAGCAGGTGCGAGTCATGTTGCCCATTGTTGCCCATTGACTGGCTTCTGTTGCATGCCAACAACAATTACTTTTGAACTCTGATGAGCGTTCAAAGGGTGCAAGCTGGTCATGAATGAGCCTGGCATATCTATATATATATATGGGTGTGTAGTAGAATAGGGAGTCCCCCCTTGTTCTTCTTCCCTGTAAAAAACAATGCCAATAAAAACCTATACAGCAATAATATATAATTACCCAAACACTCCATGTATGGTATATTTACCTACATTGGGGTGGTTTGGGTCATTATATGCAACATATGGAGAAAAAAACAAAAACCCTCATCTGGGCATCCCACCCATGATCAGCATCTCCGCACCCTCGGCCAAGAAGATGCCACCCGTCAGGAACAAGGGCTCGGCGGCGACCGACGAGTTTGCCGTTTGGCGCCCGGGTGCTGTGGGTGTTCCGTCTGAACGGGATGGATTATGAATTCCCCCAACAAATGTGGTCAAAGAGGACATGAATGTACATGGATATATAATGATATAATATGATATATATGTTGTATATGAGATCTTGCCGTGGTGTTAGATGGATATAAATGGACGATGCTCAACAGTCGGCACATGGAGATCTTTATCTCTTTAGGTCCATACGTCATTGCCATATTGTCAAATGAAACACAAGAAGTTTTGCCCAATGAAACATAAGAACTCTGGCCAAAAGGGTTCATTCCAAACAAATCTTCACTTAAAGCGAACCATCGCATCTTTTCGCGCATGGGTCGCCCTTGAGGTCCACGCCAAAAGCCTCGGCAGGAAGCGTTGGAATCACGACCGCGGCCATGGATTCGTTTAACCTACAGCATTAAACTCTTCCGAATCTTCGGGGGCTCTCCCCCTTGTCACACACATCCCGCCCATCAGTTCATCTCAGACACTGATACAGGCCAAAGCCCAATTCCTCCACCGCATGTGCCACCGCCTCGATGAAAAGACAGTGGAAACCCAGCTGTTTTGCGCAGGTGTGGCAGGTTTCGTCCGCACATGTCTGCATGGCGGGCCTTTGTTGCGGGAGTCTTTGGTATCTCAAGTGCATCTGCACCCATCGCCACCTGAGCCGGGTGCCCGGGCTGAGATCCACACCAAACACCCTGAACGATCTGAAAGAGACAGGACAAAAGAAAGGATGAATTGCCCCCAAACGCGTCATACAAAGCACACTGCTCAGTCGAAGACCTGGACTTGCTAGGCCCAGCTTCATTGAAACGGCTCCATTGAACGAGGGCCCTGGAGCAAGGCTGGCCCTCCTTCCTAAACGTAGGCCGAAACGTCATGCGGTCGACGTGGATAAGAATCATGTCTCAAGCAGCGGATTGTGCATGGCTGTCCGCCTGACGAGGAAATCATGCAAATCAAAATTCAACTCTTACAGTAACATCGTTTAGCTCTGTGTTTGATTGTGTTCGTGGCTCCCGCTGCTTTTCCACACTTCTGGGAATCAGCGTGGCGCAGCCGAAAGAAGCCATGAAGTCTCATCTCCTTCCTAGCTTCCCAACGCCGGCCTTGGCAAATACAGGTCAAGTGAACCTTTCGATATGTCATCATCTCATTCTATGACTTTGCTCGGGTCTTGACTTGGCAATTCCACTTTTCTCTTTCCTTCCAGCACCATTCTTGTAGTCCTGTCCGCCCACACACACCACAGACTCTCCCACTGAATTCCCACACTGCCTGCACTGCAGCTTCCAGCCGTTCGAGGAAGGCATCCATCCTGGCCGTGGCCGGAAGTCAACCCACATGCTGTCGAGATGGGCGATGGGCGACTTGGCAACACCATGCAACACCCAAGCCAGGCTCGCTCTTTGCGACTGGCACCTGCGAAGCAAGTCGGGCCGATGGTGCAAGATGGAAGACGGAAGACACTTGAAAATGGATGGCAAACTCGGCACCTATGGCACAGGCAGCTGTCAGGTAGCAGCATGGGTAGAACTGGCCAAACGTTTCAAACGTATCATGAAAATGCCCCTGGAGTTCATTGAGAACGTGCCAAGGTGGCATTGGTGTGAGCGCCATAGCACTCGAAAGGAGTGCCATCTATGACCTGTCCACGACCCAAACAATGACCCTCATGGCTGTCTGACATCTACAAGAAGGCATTGAGTACATCAGGAGCCTTAAAAAACAGATTGAAGAAAACACACACACACACACACACACGAGTCTCAGGCCTTCTGGTACTTGCCCTTCACCTGCCAGAAACATGCCTTCTTCATCTTCTTCTAAGGGCATTCATTGAGGGCATTGGAACGAGTTCTGGATCCGTCCATGTTTTGGCATCCGTCGGCCCTGTTGCGGAGCCCGTTTTTGTTGGAAACCACCGTTGGTCGGAGCTTTTTCCCCGTGGAAAGGATGTAAAGGTGCATCTAAAGCTTAAATACCGGCGACTTCGTCATTGCAATGTGGTTGCACCAACTGCGCACCAAAATGGGTGAAAAATCACGGGCCTTAATGGTGTCAGCTGGAGTCTCCACATCGAGAGTTGCTGCACCGGGCCTGGCTGGACGTGGTGATGCCCTAAAGCCAGTCAGACGTTGCACGCGGCGCGGAGTCGAGGCGCCCGGACTTCGGCGTGCACAGCACCACACGAGGCCCAGAGACCTTAAACATCGACCCACATTGTATCGTGCCCAGCATGGGAGATGGAGGACTATGCTGGTATAGTTGGCCTGAAGCCTACACACGCCATCTGGAATCTGGAAAAGAAAGGATGCGTTCGACTTCAAGTAGTTCCATGAAATGATGTATATACAGTAAAATGCACACGTCACAAACCTGGAAGTGGACTACCCATCTGTTGGGTATTCGGACAATGGTCATCCAACAGGCCACGTTCATCCATGTTCATCAACTTTCCACGAATATCTCCCTTGCTACTACCAGTGCAAGTGGAACACTGGTAGTTCTTTCTAGATTGAATATAAGGGTGATATAAAGTAATATATATATATAGTTGTATAAAGGTGATTGAATATAAGGGTGATATAGATATATGATATATATATATAGAGAAGGGTGATTGAATATAAGGGCGATATTCTGATATTCATTTCATGATCCTGGAATCTTTTCGTTGGCGCTTCGACCAGCAGTCGCCCCTCCTCGCCCCTCAGAGCCCCCCGGCGCGTCGGGTGAAGAGAGCGGAACCTTTGGACCGGTGGGACCGGGGTAGGGTACAGTGGGGACTGGTCAGGTCGGAACTAAACTAGGAATTTCCACTGCCAACTCATGTGGAAAGTCGGAGTACAAACATGTAAAGACGCGTTCCTGTTTTCCTCTTTTCTCGGAAACGGACCGCGAACTAACTTACTTGACGTTGTTTTTTTCAAAAAACATGTGGAACTTCAGCAACATTCAGCAACTCTTGTTGTCATAAGCACTAAGTCATGAGCACTCTATTAATGAAGCAAGATATATGATCTAGAATCTAGATCCATCTTGACCAGTCATGTCTGCATCGAACGGAATCGAACGACTGAAATCATTCTCGAACCCAGGTGTCAGGATGTGTCAGGACTCCCCTACCAAGCCGTACCAGTGCTTGTATCGAGGCCCCCGTGGCATCGCATGGCACTTGTGCTTCCCTCGTGCTTCCAATCTAAGAGCAGTTCCCAGAAAGGTGAGGTGGTCCATATCCTCCGCTCCATCAGTTGACCTGCGGCCGTGGTTCCATCATCTGTTCCATCTACCAGTACCTAATTACTCCGGAGTGGGGCTTTACATTTCCTGTCAGAATCGTTCTACATTCTATATGCGTCTCTTCCACGCAACGAGCCAACACGCCCAGTTCAACACAACTCATGACTTGTCCACTTGTCCGCGAAGGATTCCGTGTCATTCCGAAATCACACGGCTGCGCAGCATGGTCCTTTTAGTCTGGCACACAATGTCTCTGCAACTTCTTTCGTCACCCAACAGGGTGTCCCCTGTAATTGCAAAAGCGCAACATTCCAACAAGCATGTCAGGTAAAAGTCCCTCAAGGAACCTGACAAAAAGGCTTGAATTCACAAAACAAATCTTATACTGCGTACATTATCTGTGCTCCGACAGGGTCTGCTGATCTCCCGTGTCAAACCAACCGAAGGAGGCACAACATTCATTCCGCACGTGCTGCAATTCGCAGAGCTTGCGGATACACTTCCAGGCGCCACCATCACATCACACATCATCTCTTGCAACCCAGCCTTTGGGAATGTTGCTTCAACGGGTTCGATGCAGGCTTAGACATGCTTCGGTAACCTCCTGGATCATGCATATAAATAACACCGCACCACCTCGCCATTCGGCGAAGCTCTTCGTCGCTGCCGACGCGGAGCGTCATGCGTTGCTCATGGCCGTCGGTAAGACCTGGAGCGCCCAGCGAGCGGGCGAACGGAGCGTGTGGGGCGTTTCGGCTGGGGCGCCGTGCCGATCAATTCGAGGGCTTCGGAAATTCAACAAGGTGTCAAGTCCAGGCCTCAAGTGCGTGCCGGACAACCCAAAAGAGCGCGCAAAAAAAAAGTATAACAGTATAACATTAAGGTCTAGTCCGATAGACGGCTCTGCTCCCAAGATCTTGCTTAGGCTTAGATCCACTTGGATTTGATCTTGGAATATCTTGGATCCGCGAGTCATCATCGGCAGGAAGCGGCTCAGACTCCAACATCTTCTTCTGAATCCTCACACGGAGACTGTCGGACATATGAAATTCCCTGCAGTTTAAACCGGATTTGGACTTGTGAGAACCGGGCGAATGTTGCAAAACGAAGCGACCCAACCCCATCACCGATCCTTCCCCCTGCAAAACCACACCCAAATACACCCAGTCAGCCTCCCCTCCCCATCCCCCTGGAAGGGTAACTCTCTCAGCTCTCCGTCCTCGTGGGCTCGGCCTGGAAAATCGTCAGCTCGACGACGACGGATCGTCGAAAGCGACGACGATCGTCGAAAGCGAACACGCGCAAAGGCCTCGGATGGATTCGGTCTCACGCGAACTGGAACCGGTGCCAATAGGAGGATTGGCCTCCCAAACGAAGATGTACGAATGTGGCCGATCTGAACAGCATATGACTTCTGTTTTGCTGAATTGCTGTTAACAAAAGCTGATGCACCGCACTCTCCTTTCAATGGCCTGCCAAAAGTCAGAGCATCAGCCTCTGATTTGTCAGACAGGCCGATGTCTTTTCGGGCAGTCGTTCTCTTTGCCTGTTCCCAGGAGTCTGCAGAAGATGCACGAGTGGCTGGGCTGTGCTCGGCCTACCAGCAATCTCATCCCGGGAACTGTGGCGCCTCTCTGGCGATCCGAGCGTCAACTCTATCTCTACCCCGGCCACTTGGTGGAGGCTAGAGCCTCGGGCTCATGTACGAGCCTCTAGGGACCTTAAAACACGGAACTAATTCAGGTGAAACACACACATGTCATGCAGTCACGGCTTTACGTTCTACCCTTGAAATTCCTCAAGAGTTGCAAAGTTGCGATTGATGCCAGTACCTTTAAAGCTCGCAGTGAAGGTCTGTAGTCCAGAAGGGAGCTGTTCTCGCAAGAATCCGACACCGGCTGCGGTGAGCAATGGACATCCAGCAAAGTGGAGCTCAAGATCTTCCAAGGCGGGGGGCAGACCCCCTGCAATAGCATAGAGGCCAGTATCCGTCAGCTTCGAACAGCCAATAAAATCCAGGTAGAGCCGCTTGAGCCCCAGGCAAAACCTGGACCTGGGGCCGGAAACCAACTGAGCAGGAGGAACCATGACACAACTCGAAAGGCTCTTTTTCAGCCGAGGCACCCTAATGCCGACAAGCTTTGATCTGTAATCCGATTGCAGCCTTCAAAGCTAAGGCGCAAGTCTTGTAAATTGGGAGGCAAGCCAGCAGCCAAAATCTTCACGCTGGAATCCACACAGGTCTCCTGTAGAAGTTGAACACTGGCATCCAGCCACGGTCAAGGAAAATACGCCCAAAAATGGATGCCCAACCCTACATGTGGCAGTCTGGAAGAAATCCTGGAAATAACATCTCAGCTGATCAAACTCCGCCCTCGACTCGACGCAAAAATGATCTTCGGAGACCGACGTCCTTCGAGCTTTGGGAGACCCGAAGACTCGACCCGTCGTCGGCTATAGCAGTCCAGTCGGGGAGCCATATCACAGCCAGCCTTCGGGGACCCGGTTTTGATTGAAAGATTGGATGACTGTGAGAAGCCGGTGGCACATGCTTATCAGCTGATCAGCTCCACGTCAGCATAGCGTTCCAGTCGTTCCAACAGTTCTTCTGATGATCATGCCTACCAGTGGAACTCCACTGTTCCACAGTTGGTTCCTAGCTCTTAGGGAAAAAAACTCAAATAGAATGCTCTTGCTGAATCCATCCTCTGGATGTGTTTCAAAAATGGAGGATGCGCTGGCTGCCCTTTCTACCAATGGTCAAGGAAAACAGACTATATAAATCTCTTTGCTTGGGAGACTTGGAGGATCCTCTGCACACAGAAAGTCACTTCATCTTCCACTCCTGAGGTCTACCCATGTCTACCTGCTGAGTCAAGGCAGCTAGTACCAGCTTGTTCATACCGAACTTTGACCCACAACCCATAGGGTCCGTGGCTCATCAGCATCCCTGGGCCCATTGTCTTAGTTGAATGGAAGTCTCAACAAAACGGGTTTGCCAGAACCTTTTCACATGTTTGTTTATATGGCTGTGGGTCAAAACCCGGAGCCGTTGACCCTGGTAGGTAGTAGTCTAGTCTGTTCATTGTCGGTGGTCAACCAGCGTTTTGTCCTGTTTTGTCCCACAGCCATACATGTTTGCATTCTTGGAACCGTCCTCGAAGTGTGCAAGGCTCAGCTCAAGCACTTCACGATCATCATCCATCGCCAAGATCTCGGGCAACTTCACCTTGCACGAGCCGAGAATCCTGGAGAGGGCCCGATCTGTTTCCACCTGGTTTCGTCACCCCTTTCATCCCGCCGATCGGACGACGTCGGGACGTCGGCGCTGGACCTTTCCCACGACCTGGGTCGGAACAGCGAAGAAGGAGGCAGGTGAATTTTAGATCATTTATTATTTAGTGCTGAAAGAAACATCCCCGTCCCCAAAAAGAAGCTCATTAAAGGTCATCCACTCACTGGGTATATGACGAGCGGCTCTCACAACCGATGGCATCTGCTGCAAACCCATCCCGAAACATGGACAGGACAGGGAAGTCATGGGAAGTCTATAATTAGAGTCGCTTATGGTGGATTGTGGGAGAAATGTTTTGGGGGCGAGAAGAAACCGCATTGGACAAAGGGCCTTCCATGTCCAGCTTGATGATATGACTATTAGTTCGAGAACATATGCAAGAACATTATAGCTATGTTTTCACTAGCCGCTAGCCTCACTGCACTGGGTTTGGAAGCGGGCCTTCAACAGGCAAAACAATAGAACATAAACCAACACCCCACAAATTCGATCTGATACCATACTTGCAGGTCACCTTCTGTCTTGCTTTGGAGCTCAGTTTCTGCTCTTTGTGATTGGCAAAGTCCAGCAAACGCCCATGTTTCATGGCCTGCGGCCAGGCCAGAATTGCGAAGGTGGAGTGGAGCGCATCATTGGCGCGCTTCAAATTTTGCTGCAGGAGCTCTTGGCCGGCTGTGGTGGACAAGTCTGCATGGCTTGCCATCTCAAAAAGGATCCCGTCCTTATCCTTTTGAACCGTGGCCTCGCCATCCTCCAGACATACTTGCAAGCCGTGCAGAAGCAAAGACAAGGGAAAATTCTGCTCTCGCACCGACTTGGCCACGGCCGATTCACCCGGCAGTGGGCTTTTGCTCAGCATCTGAGCTCCCGGGCTTTGCTTCTTGGATTGGACCATGGTCACGATGTCCAACATCTTGTCAGGGTCTGTGATTGAAGAATAGACCTCATAGTCACACCAGATACGACTGAAGGGAGTTGCATCCTGGTCCAGGATCAGCAGCAAGCCTTCGGCCACATGAAGAGCTCGGTAGAAGGAGGATTGGGTGATGTCCTGGCCGATTTCAAGCTCCAGCTCGTGTTGCCGATTGGCATAGCCGCAAACCCAGTAGTTGGCCATCGTGTCATTCAAGCGCCGCAGCACCGCGTGCTTCTGGCAACAGTTCACGAAAGAGACGATGGGCTCCCCCCACCAGTGTGAACCTAGGAGCAATGGAGGGATTCTGTCATCTCTGATAGCTATGACAAATCAAAAGTCTGAAGAAAGGGGCCCAAGACTAAGGACGCGACAGTACCAGGTTGGTTTGCAGGGGGTCAAAGACAAATATTCCTTGTAGCTGAAGGAATTCAAACACTCCATGGATTGCAGTTTTCCCAAGGGAGCATCTCCAAGCATGATGTTTCCGTCCTCCGCGTGAGTGGTAAAGCGGCCTTGGCTCAAAGCCACGCAAACGGTGAGCACATCACCATCCATGTCTGCTCGCAAAATGGTCGCAGAAGCACTGGGCAAAGTCATTTTGTCAGATTGTTGGAAAATCTGCTGCCCACACAAGGCTCTCCAATGAAGAAGCTGACTCTTCAAGGGCTCCATCCTTAGAAGCAATCCAGTTTTGGGCGCAGTCTTGGGCAGGATGTGATAGTAGCTGAAGTGGTAGAGGTTCAAGGTATTGCTTTCAATTCTTCGACCGGTCCGTGGATCGTCCCACCCATGTCGACTGGCCAGCAGCGCATCTGATGAGATCCGTTTCAATTCTTTAAGGCTCACGGCTCGCTCTTCAGATGGCAAATTGGTTCGATATTCATAGCTCAGCAAGCCAGTCACGCCCATGCTTTCACTGCTCTTGGGGAAGATCTGTGAGCTCGAACTGAATTTCGCAAAATCCGAGAGCTCGATGTCCGAGCCATCACAGCTGGGAGTCGGTTCGAGTTGCATCTCAAAGGCTTTGGCTCTGGAGACCTTCATCAAATCCTGCATCATTGACCTCATGGTCAGCATCGCCTCGTGGTCAGGGTGACGTGGGGCCGTGGAAAATGTTGACAGCGGCCGTTTGGTCCGGCCGTGGAAGAAGTTGATTTGTGGGGGCTTGGTTTGGTCGTTATTCCAAATCACAAGAACATGGAGTATGATAGACGATCGATCACACATTACTCTCTGTTGAGCTAATGTAGACGAGGTGGAATCCACGTTGCTGCAAACAGCAAGTAGTTACTTTTAAACAATCCTTGGAGGGCTCTTTTACCTTCACCCAAACCAGGGTGGACATTCCACTTTCCAATTGAACATGCTTGAAGGTGCTTGGTCTTCCATCGGCCTGGTGCATCCATTCTTGCTCCATCTGAACTCGCACCATGTCCACGGCCTTGGCCCCGCCCCGCAGGCGGAGGCAGCCCAACAGGAACTCCGAATGCTCAATGGCACCCGTGCCATCCGAATCCAAGACCGAGAATAAGCCAATGGCATCGCTGATGTCCAGATCCAAGGATGACAAGAAGGCATGCATGCGCTGGTCTTCGAGAGCAATCTGGAATTCCGTCCAACTAATGGCGCCGTTGCCATTTTGATCAAACTCTCGGAACACCACATTCATCTGCTGAACAAACTCCTCCTTCGACTCAATCTCCGATTGAATCAGGTTTTCTTTCTCCTTCAGGTTTGTACACTGCTAGGACCCCACCAAAATCTGTGAAAAAGATTGAAACAGCACCGCAATTGTCAAAGAAATTGGCAAACCTCTGACTATACAGTACATTAATTGTTTAAATACTCATAATTTGCGAGCGTCCACCTGTTCGTCGTGATTTTCACCTGTCCTTTTTGCTCACCTTCTTCTGAAGACTGAAGAGGAAGCTTGCCATCATGTTTCCCAGAATGACCACTGAGAAGGACACATAGAGCAAGTAGAAGAACTGAAAGAACCAGTGCCAAGCAGTCATTTCGTCCCATAGCTCCCCCCATAGCACCCCACTGTAGAGAATCTGGTACAGAGTCAGCATGGAGCCAGTCAAAGTGCCAAACTTCTTGCACAACAGCTCCTCTCGTTGTGAATCCTCGCGGCAACTCTGCCACACACCCTCAGTCAGTACCAGACTAAAGACATAAATCACACTGAATGCCAGCAGCATCAGCCAGATCATCATCTTTAGACTTTCACCGATCGAGGCCACCAAAATGCGGATCTGCCGAAACTGGGGCCACTTGGCGAAGTACTTGGCCAAACGCATGATCCGCAGCACGCGCAATAAGCGGAGCACTCGAAGACCAGACATACTGGAGATGAGTCCATACCTCAGTTATCAAAGAGATGTTCGTTCATGTTAATTCCCTTCACGAATGTCAACATGTAACATGAAGTCCTTCACAAGGAGGCCGAACTCCCCCCGTTGTCGGGCACACGTTAAACGAGACTAGACCGCGGCTCTTCGCTGATTTCGTCCTGAGTGCTGTGTAATCTGTGAAGAGATCATCAAGGAGACCAGCACCACGTCCAGTAAATTCCACCACTTCATGGGTCCAGTGACGAATCGAAGTTGTTCCACCAGAACACGGATGCCCAGGTCGACCGAGAAGAAAATGCAAAAAGCCAGTTCCTGAGATCGATCAAGTGGAGGAAGGAAGATGAAGGAAAAGGAGAAACATGGAGAAACAAGATTAACATGGAACATCAAGGAGCATCATGGAACCTGAAAATGGACCAGACTGGAAGACTAGCTGGCTCCACAAACTGACAAACCACCGTTTTTCAGGTTCAGCAGGTTCCATGATAATCTTCCTTAAAAAATAGGGGCCGGGCAATGACCGGAGGCCGGGCAATGAGAGTTTTCTTTCAACTGGTCGTTGTCCATCTCAGTTGGGAAACTCCCCATTCTAGAAACATGTAATGAAGTCCAGCCGGCCTAGCTTCTCCCTGGTTTGTCCAGGGTGGCTCTGAGCCTCTGAGGGTAGTGACTTGAAGGTTGACGCCCATGAGGCAGGCGTACAAGAAAATGACAATCATGGTGCAAATGTCATACCAAACCCACAGCTGTTTTCGTCTCACCAAGTTGTGCTCCACGGAGGACCAACTATTAGCGATGCCAGTGCCCGAACGCAAAGTGGAGTTTCCCAAGCCACCACTTCCTTTCAAAGTCCCTTCCACTAGCTTCCGGACATAGGTCGGCACACCTGTCTTGTACTGGCTCGTGTGGGTGCTTTTGCCACCCCGGCGAGGCGTCGCATTTTGAGAAGGCACATGCATGATATTGGGATAGTCTGACTCTGTCAGATTCATCCGTTGTGTGAGCCTTTCGATGCTTTGGTCTACATGTGACTTGAGGCGGGCTTCATGCTCCACAAGCATGGCATACATCTTGCTCACTGTGACCAAACCATAGTCATCCTCTGGACATGACAATTTCTCACTCGGCTCTGTAGGCGCTGCAGGAGGAGGCCCTGGCATGGGTCTGGCGCTCCAAACTCGGCCAGGCTGCGGCGAACTGACGCGAGAGACTGAAAATGGCTGCCACCATACACATAGCCTATAGCCTATAGCCTTCAAAGACAAGTCAAACATGTTGATCTGGCTTTGCAGTGCAAAATCCGTGCTGAAACAATGACTCTTTGGTAAAGACATGTGAAGACCACTTAGACTTAGTTACTTTAAAAAGCGAGTTTTGGAATTGCAGAGCATAAAGGTCTATAAAACCCTGTCGTCTCGATATACGCCCTTCAACAATCATGGGAGTGGACAATGATGACGGGGCGCTTGGATGGTTCCTCGACCGCCGGGATTGAAATCTTGGTTGTCCATATATGAGCAACAAACAAAAAACAAACAAACAAACAAACAAACAAACAAGCAAGCAAGCAAGCAAAGCTGACAAAGCCAAGCCAAGCCAAGCCAAGCCAAGAAGCAAGCAAAGAAACCAACCAGCCAAACCAAACCAACTAAAAGACAAAAACAAAGGCAGAATCTTGTTAACACCCGGCTGCTGTTGACCCGTCAGGGCATCCACTTAGCCCCACGTCTCTTTTTTCCGCGACCCGAGACGGCCTCTTGACCAGATGAGGATTGCCGAGATCCACCTGCGATCGTTCGGGTGTTCGGGTGGCCACTTACACTCAGATTCTGGGCTGTTGAGAGTTCCTTCAGATTCTTTCCTTCCATTCCCTTACAGCAAGCATGTGTGTGTAGCTGTGTGCACATTTGTGCACAAATTTTGATGATCAGCCAGGTGCCAATCCTGTGTGACCAACGGGGGTAGGCTGCCGTTCTGCGTCCTTCACTGCTTCTACTCTCATCACTGCTTCAATCCTCCAATTCGAAGCAGTCCTGATAGGCACCTTCCGTCGGCGGTTGGCCCAAACGCGAAATGCTGGATGTAGGCTTCCTCAAACACTGAAAGCAGGACCCAACAAGAAAACTGTAGAGACAGTATGGCGACAAAGGTCTACTGTATTAGGATCAGTTTGTGCAATGTGCATCTGCAGTTTGGACCTGGCCTTCCTGCCAATCAGGTTCGATCAAAGAGGTCAAGTCGAACTCCAGCTCTGATGCCTCTGAGATCAATGCAGAACTGGAGCCAACTGATGAATGTCCCAAAAAAAAGCACCCTTTGTGTGTGTGTGTGAACGGTGCTCATGGGGAACTGAACGCAAGTTAGCAACCTGGAGCTTGTCATTATAAAGCATCAGCGAGAAGCTCGAGGTATTACGGTGCACAGCTCCACAGTATCAGAATTACTATTTACAATTTCTTGCCCTCTGTGACTCTATGCCCTCAGTAGCATTTGTATGTGTATGTCCATGTCAAATTTGGAACCCCCGGACCCATTCGGAGCCCATAGTTAGTCACCCATTCTACTGCATGGCTTGTAAGGGCCTTTCAAGAATGGCCAGACATGGAAAAAAAACACAGAAGGTCCATGGACGCATTCATGGACCCCCTGTTGTTCGGTCCAACTGCTGCCTGTGACCTCATGGACTTCTTGCTCAACGATCTCGTCGGCGGCTTGGAGCTGCGCTGCCCCGACTCCGTGTCGTCGTCCTCCTCGACCATCCTGCGCGAGTGAGGCACGTTTGGGGCCGCCCGGCGCCGAACGCGCCGTAGCAGGTGAACGACCATAGCAGATCGGTCTAAGTCATCGACGGATCTGCAGATGAGTCCGACCTGGACAGGGCAAAGAAGGCGAAAAAAACGCGCAGTCGGTCAAAGACCTGGTCTTTTGCGGTGAATTTGGTGTTTGGATACCCTCGAGAAAAGCCGCCTGCTGGCCCACTCGTCCAGAAAAGCCACATCATCAGCAGATAGCACGCCCTTGTTGTTGGTATCCAACGCCTCAATTTGGTCGCAAATTAAGCTGTTGGATACTCTTTTAAATAGCTATGAGGCTATGAGAATATAGGAGGGCGGGTCTAGCCAGCCGCTTTGTAGCGATTTAAGATGATTTAAGTGTGCAGGGTATCCCACTCAAGGATATAAAATTGTATAAAATGACAAGGCCGGAGGATGGGTGCAAACATCTAATTAACTATTAAAGTCACTAGACCCGAGCCTGTAGCACCTTGCACACCACCAAAAACACACATAGACACATAGCTATGTGTATGTATGTATATATATATATACATACACACATAGTGTGTGTGTGTGTGCGTGTGTATATCATGAATTCTTTCCCCATCCACATCTCCCCACACCATCTTGAAATATCACAACCAAGCACGCCAAGCAATGAGTTTTTTTGCAATCTCATCGCCCCCAACAATGCGTCGCATGGGAGAGCCTTCCATCATTGGGCTAGCTGGGAAATGCTATTGGGGAGAGCTGAGAACAGGACTCGGGGGAGGTCACACCTAGCCATTGCAAAGGGGAGGAAAGGTGCAAAGGGGAGGAAAGGCCTCTATAAACTCGAGGGGTCACGCCGGTCACACCTTTTTCAGGTAGGAAAGGCCCCTAGACTGAGCCCCTCCTTTGCTGTGCTGGGTACTAGCCTGTTCGGGGCCTGGAATCCTAGGGGAAGCATAGGAAAGCCTTTCATCATGTGGGGCTAGCCATTTTAATAGGGGGGTCCACCTCCAAAATGGAAGCCTTCCATCCTGGGGGCTAGCTCATGGTTTGGAGGTAGACGTTAAAATGCTTGATCCATAGATAGGATTGCAGGAACGCCACAGATTCAATCAACCCGTTGTCTCTATAAAATCACCTCTTGACCTTGCATCAGCCGTTTTCTGTGAGGAGTTGACCCCCAGATTTCATCGGCGATACTCACATGGCTATCTTTTGCTCGCACCAAACTGTGTCGCGACTTCTCTCTTCCCGGTGGCCCCACCTTGAATGCCAGCTTGGCGGGCCCCGAGAACCCATAAGCTCGGCATGCCCTGCGGGGTTCGCTCAGGGCGAGAAACACATCACGACACCCATGCGACGTTCAGGCCGATCCCGAGCTTCCGGCTGTTTGAATTCAAAGGGCGTCACTTCATTGGAGCCATCGTCATCCAAAACCATAAAGCACGTCTTGACCTGAAACGTGCGACACGAACGGCCAAACCATGGGTGTTTCACGTGCTGAAACTGATTCGGAATCCCTTCCCGGCTAAATCGGTCCATGTGCTGGCCTGCTCTCCCCTAAAGCTGGGAAACAAAGCTCCGATCGACTCGATCCGCTCGATCTGGCGCCCGGACGCTGCCGAACTGCTCCACGGCCCAGTCTCGAAACTCCGTCAGAGCTTCTCCAGCAGTGGGATCAACATCCTGGAGGGTGAGGCGTCCTGAAGCAACATGGCTTCACGGTGAGATACACCTCAGGTCCTTTTGGATTCACCAGGCTCGCCCCAGGCGAGAAGGGGGTGCTGATACATAGCTTTTCTATGCTTTTCTAATTAATACACCTGCCTACTGAAGCAGAAGAAACCTGAACAGGCATCCAAATCCAGCGCAGTGGAGATCTGCAAAAGTTCAATGTGGACGTATGTTGACAAATGTTGACAGTTGATTCGGTTGATGATCTGAGTTTAACCCCCTATGATATAATCATCAACGGTCAGCACTCCTTGCATTGGACTGCCATAAGATAACCAGAATGAGCTTCCGCTGCAGAAAACACTCAAAAAAGCAGGCCATGGAACGGAACTACCACACGTGTCCTACTTTTGAACATCGACCCCCCCCGTCCAGATCGTTGAACATCTAGTGCGCACCATGCACCTGCGAACATGAACATCACATGCCAGGGTGAAGTCAACAAACTGCTGCCTGCGACATCGTCATGCCAGCCAACTTCTTTGCAGGCATCCCGGAACTCATCCCAGGTGCATCTGTTGTCTCCTTGGTTCTGCCAAGTCTGCACGCACGACCAGGTCGGGCGATCTGTTTCGATCCAAGTCGCCAGTTCGGTCCAACGACAGTTTCCATGCTCGAAGGTAGGTACCATATTTCTTGAGAAGCCTCCAAGCAGGGCTTCATGGCTGGGCAGGTTTTTGCATGCTGGCATGCTTACGCGTGAAGGTCCACGGACTAGGAACATCATAACATATTATAGAAGATCCGTTTCCTCATGGTTCCATGATGCTCCAAAAGGCTCTCTGTGCAAATGGTTCCATGGACGTGGCGAGAACATGACATCGAATCTGCTCGCCATGGCTCTGTCCGCTCGCCTGGTTTTCACCTTGGCACAAGGCTCGCCACAAAAGCACTTGCGAAGGAACATGACACGAGAACACATGGCACAAGAACATTGTCCTCTCAGGAGTCTTTCCTATCCAAATAGAACTTCTAAACACACTTGTTGACACCCTACACTAGTGTGAGTGTGTGTGTGTGTGCGTCTGCATTTGCATGCCTGTATGTGCGTGTGCATGCGTGTGCACTCCACAAAAATACAGTAAATTCTATCTATCTATCGACTCTGTCTGTCTGTCTGACTGTACTGTACTGTACTGTACTGTACTGTCCTGTCTGTCTGTATCGTCTGTCTGTATCGTCTGTCTGTATCGTCTGTCTGTATCGTCTGTCTGTCTCGTCTGTCTGTCTCGTCTGTCTGTCTCGTCTGTCTGTATCGTCTGTCTGTATCGTCTGTCTGTCTCGTCTGTCTGTCTCGTCTGTCTGTATCGTCTGTCTGTATCGTCTGTCTGTATTCTATCTATCTATCTGTCTGTATTCTATCTATCTATCTATCTATCTGTCTGTATTATATCTATCTATCTATCTGTATTATATCTATCTATCTATCTAACTAATCTATCTCTCTATCTATCTATCTATCTCTATCTATCTCTATCTCTACCTATCTATCTATCTATCTCTATCTCTATCTATCTCTATCTATCTCTCTATCTATCTATCTCTATCTATCTATCTATCTGTCTATCCATCTCTGTCTATCTATCTATCTATCTCTATCTATCTCTATCTATCTATCTATCTCTATCTATCTATCTGTCTATCTCATTCTATCTCTATCTATCTATCCATCTATCCAAAACAGTGTGTATAGAGATTATATACTACGCATGTTATGCTGTTGTGCATGCATGTATGTATACAAACACTTATATATATATAACTACAATGTTGTTCTCTTTGTGTGTATGTGTTATGTTTGTGATTGTGTGTGTGCCGTTTGGTCCGCAACCTCCACTGCAGCAAACCTTGGAACCAGTCAGCTCAACCGTTCAGATCGGCCCAAAACAAAACGTCGTTGTGACACATCCACCGACGGACTTGCGCTGGGGAGAGTACCTAGCAATGAACATGTGGGAGACCAACCAAACTAGGGCAGGTGGATCGAGTGAATCGATCGTCCTCGAACCGAATTGATGACCAAATGTGTCATACGTTTTTTCAATAGAACAGCGTCCTAAAGCCCACATCGCAACAGAACCGGTGTTCAAATCCCAGTCTTTGATTCCTCTCAGGGCTTCACTTGGTCCTGGTGTTTTCATGCTTTTCAAGGCATGCCAAGTTGGTCAACTCATAATCCCTCCCTACTCTTCTTCCGGGCTCCCAACTTGCTGCGCTGCCGCTTCATTGGGATCCGCGGTCAGGAAGGCTCTCGGCTTCCACCTCAGCTTTTTCCAACAAACACCGCTGTGCTCTTGGTTCAAGGGAACTGACATGGTCTGTGCTCTCGGGGGCATTGGGCACCACCGACCACCGATAGTTCCAGGAAAGTCGACCACCTTTCTGCTTCTGCAGTCGGAAAATTGGGCACCCCAACCGGTCCAGAAACCGCATGTCCTGCGGCGCGGTGTTTTGTCACGCGATCCATACGGCTTTCGGCTGGTTTTCATGTGTTTCGCCGGCAAACCCCGGGATGACGGGGAAGACTTTAAGTTCTGAGAGTCAGAAATCTCCGGCCAACGGCAGTGAGATTGATGAACAAGTTTGCCGAGGATTTCTGGCCTCTTCATAGATCCTCCCCGCATTGTTCAGGTCGAAGGCCGTGAACAACAACGGCGCAGAGCTTTCAAAGCCCATCCGGCCAGCAGCTGCAATAAACCTGACATGATAGTCTGAGGCAGGAGTAGACTCAATAAGACCTCCACAAAGGTCGAAACTGCAAAATGGCTTTGTACAGGGTACAGGGTTATGTGAGTTTTCAGAATCTCATTCTTGGCAGATAATCTTGAGGCACGAGATCTCTTGGTCAAGTCCTAGGCCTCTCGGGGGGGGGGGGCCCGCAACGCGTTACAGATAAGATGCTCGTCCCTAGGGACATAGAGATTGCCATCGACATCCAGCATTCGGAATGCCATCTCAGCACCTAGTTTGGTCGCAAATCACCGTTCAGGTGGGAGCTCCGGGGGCGCCAAGCATGCAAAAATCACTAGGATCATAAGTGACAATGAGCTTGGCACTTTTGTAGTTCTGCATGAGGAACTTACTGAAGCGCGCAAGCGCCTAAACAGGGCTTATTATGGGATGCCAGCTGGGCAAAAACAAGACTTCACACATTCCTCTTGATTGCAAAAACAGGATCGAAGAAGTCGCTCGTCCTGTGCGCCATCGTAGTCAAACTCCTCCAAGGTCACACACCCATTGTTGTCTTTGTCCAGCAGGTACCACATGGATCTCACATCCTGGCGCCGAAGTCCCATTGAGGGAGTAGTGGAGCGATCGGACGCTACGAACGTAGCTCCTGGCATTACTACTAGGAACAAGAAGCTACTTGCTTAATATGCCTCGTTGGGTCCATCTGAAAACAACTGGGCGAACTGACCACAGTATGCAACAGCAACACCTGTAAAAACTTGAGTTGAGGCTTGCACTTGACACATAGACATGGTCTGTTGCCCGGCCCATTTGCTACTGTGCTTGGGATTCACGTCCGTCTCTGTCAGGAAAAGTGTTTTGGACGCTATGTGCCAAGACTCTTTCCGCCACCCAAGCTCAGCACACGCTTTGACAAACTGTGGCTTTTGCATCGAAAGCGTCTCTCCTCGGCTGTGGCAAATCTTCCACCAGCAACTCCGGTGGCAAATGCCGCGCATCATCTCAAGAAAACACGACACGCGGACCGCGGATGTCAATCCAGCTGCGATTGGCAAAAACACGCCGCCAGGCTCGCACCAATGAACCCCCAAACTTCCTCTTTAGCATCAGCCTTGGGAGCTATATCCATACAATATGCAAACACCAGCATTTGTCTCGTACAAAAAAGCGCCACTGTTAAGGGTTCTAGGGCGTCTGCTTGAGCTCCAAAAGCGATTTGTTGGGGTCAATCACTGACTTTCTTTCTTTCAGCCGCTGCTCCTCGACTTTGTGCGGAAGACGGCAGAGGCACTCTCTGAGAAACAACCCATGGCTGCCAGAAGGTGATGGAGAGGAAGACAAAAGAACAGGATGTCTTAGCACTGGATGTGTCTTAGTACAAAATGAACAAAAGATCATATCTTGACCCACCTTCTGCCGCACCGAATGATATGAAGGAGATTTGGGTCCTGAAGTGCCATCTGCCGCGCCTTTTCCTGCGCCAAAAGCAAGTGGCCGGCTGGCAGCCGTGAGAAGTAGACGGCAAACAATGATTTGGGGAGCCCCATGACAAAGCACATCAGGTGTGCATCCGGGAAGAGCAAAGATAGACGAAAAGCTGTTGGTCTCATGCGGTCTCGCGTCTCACTATGAAAGTGTCAAGCGACGCAGAACTGGCAACTTAAGCAATGTGTTGATCCGTTTTCATCCTTGCACTTTGGCCCATCTTCTTGGTCTCCACCGCAAAACCACACCGCCGTCCGTCCAGCACCAGCTGCTGATGTCGCTGCTGTTTCCCCCCCCATGGCCTTGCGCAAGAAGCGCCGCAGCTCCACACCGAGCCACTTCCTGGGCTGGTTGGGTGATCGCTGTCCCGGCGACTTGTCCATCCAAGGAGGTGTTCCTGTGCTTCATCCAGAGGGCACAAAAGGGAACGACCTGAATTTCTTTCTGGGAGACCTTTTGGTAGGGGTGTAGATGTTTTGCAGTGTTGGTGTCTCTGGTGTCAGGCGTAAGGGTTCCCAGGTTCCCTGCAATAGACCAACATGTTGGTTTCAATCTTTTTTCCCTGGCCTATGCAATAATCTTCAGTGCACTGGTCGCTACAGTATTTTCAAGCAGGCTGAGATAGCTGTGCGGGTGGTCCAATTCGAAAGAACTTGCCGGCAACGCCCCATGGCCCGTGGCACCCTACTTCAGGAGGCATCCTCTGAAAAGCACATCAACCCCCACACGTGCTGTCCTCACGTCCGTTCATGCTTCTTCGGTCGTGTCTATCACTCGGTGTGTCTGTTCCGAGTCAATGAGATCCCATGATCCCATCCATGATCCCATTGGGTCGGAGTATCTGAAGATCACTTGTTACATCTTGTTACGTACTTACGTATATATATATATATATAGCGTCCTCTTGCTATGTGCGTATACGTAGCCATTGCCAGGAGCGTGACACCGTGAACGTAGCTTCCTTGTTCCGAGAAGTAGCGACGCCCTTCGTTACTAGTGGCTTCTTGTTATATAATAGTAGTTCCTTCATGTTCCTTCTATCAACTAGGGTTGTCTGTGAGCTTTTCTAAGTCCAACAATCGAAAGGAGCCAAGCCACATATCCTCCGCTCGGATGTACTCCTTGTCTGAGCCTCAGGGGGTCTTGCCATGATCATTCAAACCTGGATTTTTGCTGGGGAAGAATCTGCAAACAAGGAGCTCAGCGCATCAAAAAGTTCTTCTTCTTGACCATAGTGCCAGCCATGGGACTGTAAGGCGGTCTGAAACTGCCTCAATTCCCAGGGAAACCTGGTCCATCCCCGCAGCGGACTGGATTGCTACTGGACTGGATTCTACGCCCCCACCCACCTCAATGGCCTCTCTCCTGCTGAATTTCCGCCCAAAACGATCACTGAGATCCCCACTCAAAGGTGATGTTCACCTCGTCATACGGATCCCAAGCATCGCACTCGCCCACATTTCGCATGAACTCCTGGATGTTTGGACAGCTACAGGTCTCTTTTTGGGTGTTGGGGTGAGAGAGATATCTGCCCCACCATCTGGAAACAAAAAGTGTAGTTTTTTGGTGGGCTCTAAATGTTGCGGAAATTGTTCCAACACCGGATGGAGCATTTCGCTGTCCTCAACACCGCGGCGAAATTTCGCCACACAGAATTCCTGAAAGCGATAAAAGAGCAGCGCTGCATCCTCATCCAATTCCTGCCCGGCCGGAGGTTGTGGTCCAAGTCTGGTCATACGGTCATACGAATGAACGTTGGATAACGTTGGGGGGGGGGCGATTCTCATCATACCAGTGTCATACCATTGGCCGAAATAAAGATTTGGATGGAGAAGGTGTATAGAGTCTATATATACATAAACACAGAGAGAGAGAGAGAGAAAGTATACAGTCCGGTCATACCCGGTAATGTCCACACATGGAACTCACGCGGTTCGGTTCGTGCGGTTGGGAGGACCGGTCGTTGTTTCGTTCATGTTCAATTCCAACCGACCTCCAGCGACCCGAGGACCTCAAACGACCTCGCTCGGACCTCGCTGCTTTGAATCGACCTCGACAGCCTTCTGCGACGAACATGCGAGACGCACGAAGCACAACACGATCCAAAAAAGAGGAGGCACAACACGACCAAAACCCTTCGTCCGGCGAATGGGTCTCTCCTGGAGGGACAGCTCACCTCCACCATCCGCATCCAACTGCCCGAACAAGGCAATGGAATCCTGCGATCTGGCGGTCTGACAAGGCCATTCCGTCTAAGGTGAGCCTTCCTACGAGGACGCTCCGTCTCAAGATCAGATCTGTCCATGTCAGTCATCCGGGCTGACACGGATTTCGCGGGAGATGGCTGATAAGCCCCCGGGGGAAGTTGATGAACATGATTTTGCTTCGTGGACTCTTGGGCATCTACTTCAGGATCACATCACTCTGTGATCCAGCTACGCCCAGAAGGACACGACCTGAACAAGCGTGTCCTGGCAAAGGAAGGCAGTCGATTGTGGCCTGAAAGACCTTCACCCTCTCTGACAGCCCTCTCTGAACATTCCGGGCTTGCATGGTGTGCCCTTCTTTCACTGCCAGGACCACATTTCAAAGGGCTTATTGTGGGTACTATATAGTGGTTAAGTTTTTGTTGGAGTTCTTGGCCAAAACAGTCACTTCTCTCGGTCTATGTGCCTTTGTGTTCCCATCAGCCTGGATTTCATGGTCGAGAAGGGCCCTTGGAGAAGAGTCCGAAGCCCCTCCCCCGCCCCGGGTCGCTCCCGTGGACATCGTATGTCACGCATGTAACGCCTCAGTGCAGGTGGGATCGTTCGGGCAGCGAGCAGACGACTCGGTGTGAACAGGTGTCATGGGGCACCAAACAAAAACACCGCGCGATCAGTTCACAGGGCCGTTCAGGCTGCCTGTTCTCTAAGCCAGTGGGAAACATCCATCGGGTGATCTGTGGGGTGAATTTGGGCGGTCCAGCACTGCTCGGAGTGCCATCACCCGATTCTTCTTGTCAAAGGATTCTTCTTGCGCCTCCGGGGGGGGGGGGGGTCACGCAGAACGGGTCCCATCCGTGTGCGGCTCAAGCTGCATGAAGCGTTGTTCGGTGACCTCAGGTTTCCAAGTGGTGGGTCAAACCTAGAGCCCGATAAACCCTGGACTGGAGGGTTGACCATTTCTGGCGCCTGGTGGACCATTTTCACATTGTTCACAACACGCGTCTCCGCAAACGCGTGCCATTCATTTGGTCTACCCAGAGTCTATCAATATCTTGTCAAAGTTGAGAATGAATCTCAAAGAGCTTCTCAAGCTGAACATCTGGAAACGGTAGACTTTATGCCAAAAGAACGAGATCTACTGAAGACATGGAAGCTGTCTACACCACATTGGGACTCATGCGCCTGTAGTATGCGTCCCTGGGGACGACGTGTGACTCGACAGGTCGTCGGCATTTCTTCTAAAGGCTTACAATGGCATGCCGACTCCCTGGTATGAGCTGGCGATCCCAGCTGCATGCGACATGATGGCGAAGTCTTGCCCGTGTGGATCCCTCAAAAGGATGACTATCGGCCCTGTCCATTCGGCTCTCGTCCAGACGCGGATTATTTCTTCTGCCGAGGTTATTTTAGAACATTTCTTGGAACAAAGGCAAAATCATACAACGAGTGGTGAAACGCCCCGTCCACATAAGGATATACCACTGAGCAACCACTCGTCTTAGAGCCACTATGAGCCACTCGTTCCTACGGAACGGTGCTGAACGGTGACTTTTCCTGTGGACATATCCGCAGTGGTGAAGGAACATGGTAGATGATGGTAGATGTACAGTTTCGGTCTTAGTTCCTCCCTTACCTCCAGTACCCCCACCCGTTCTCCGGGCCGGTTGGCGCGTTGGCGCCTCGATCGCAAGTTGGTGCTTGGGTAGTCCGTTCATTTTCTGTGGTCAACCCGTCGGTCCCGCCGGTTGAAAGGCCGTGGTTGTCAACTCAACACTGGTTGATAGAGGAAGTGGAGAAGGGTCGAGACAGTCTGACCCTGGGAGAACAAAAATCGACGGGTTATATAACATATGATTTTCCACGATCTCCTGGTAACCAAGGGATCGTTTGGATGAATTTGGGAAGGGAAAATGCCTTCTGATCAGAAATTTGGTTTGCCTCCAGCCCGGCTCACTGCGTTCAAAAAGGCCGTGCGCTCCCACTCCGGATCCAGGCGCTGCATCCATGCCTGAGTCAGCAACGTCATTGCTCTGGACACATTACCAAAGAAGAAAGAACATACCTGGACCTTCCAACTACCAAGAATTATAATCGTTTGGGTCAGTTTGTTTGTGTTGCGTTATTTTGCTGGTTTGCTGTTCTTTTTTTGTGTGCGTTTTGCGCTTGCGGTCGTCGTTTTGCCGCGCGCGCTGATTTGCGGCCGTTTGCGCGGAAAACCCGGTCAGTAACCAAAACTACCATAATTTGTTTGTCATTGGAAGTTCCAGGTATATAATATATAATATTACTTCTATGTGATATGTGTATATATATAACTATATATATATAACTATACATATATGCACCACACCTTCAGCCAATGGGTAGCTTATAGACACCCCTGGCCCCTGACTATGCATGTTCCATCATTTGCCATACAATAGCCATCCTCAGGGTGGTGCTGGTTGTTGGATGCTGTTGGGCGTTTTGAGCACTATGCACTCTAAGCACCTTTCTTACCGTGACGAGTCACTGTAGAACCCCTTCCTTCACACCTGCTCAATCCTGCTCAACTGAGCACATCCCGAAAATGCCAGGCGATGCCAGGCGTTTGGAGCACCAATGTCCGTTGCGAAAGCGGCGGAGCTTCGAGCGACTCGGTCCCGACCGGGTCCCGACGCAGGTGCGTCCAGTCCCAGCCACCCGCAGCACGGAGCCCTCTTTCTTCGTCAAGAACTTCGTCACGAAGGCCCGCGCGGCTTCGGACTGCGAGGACACCGGAGGTCCATCCTGGATGTGCTCAACGGTGTCGCCCAGAGGTGTGAGGACTGGAGAGGACTATTGTAGAGCTTTCCAACAAGCCGGATGAAGCAAATTCGCTCATGGCAGCATGTGGCACTGGGTCGGTTGCTGATGTGGCTGGAAAGAGTCTTGATCTTAGTTACATCCCTTGCCCCTCAGTTCTTCCGAAGAAAAAAACACCAGGAGATGTGCAGAAACCCTCGTCCTCCTCCCTCCCCCTTCTCGGCCTCCACTGCTTCATCCTCCATCTTGGTGCGTTGGCAACCCTGCACGGAGCACACCATCCCCACGACCCTCGTGGCATCACCGTGGCGCGCCCGCGCGCGCGATCGAACCCGACGGTGCCGAGCCAGGGGCCTGCCTGAGCAACCCATCGCTTGGCGATGGCCACCAAGGTTATACTCCAAAGCACGCAGTTGAGCCAGGAGGGTGGAGGAAAAAAAGGAAACCATAGCACAAATGCCAAGAATACATCAACGGATGACATGTGGTCCTATATTGCGAGACCCAAGTCACAAAGAGCATGCCTTTTTTCTTCCATTGAGTTCTTCACGAAACTGGCTGCTTTGGCCAAGAACTCGCCTCAACTAACACTTTCTCTCTCCCTCTGTCTGCGAATCAACCGCTTCAACCCCGGGAAGGTACACTGAGAAGACGGCGAAACTTCAAAAGGTCAATGTGTAAGTTCAGCCTCGGACGTGGAATGGTAGCACCTGCCTCCTGGCACCTCAACGATTCAATTTCTCACGATCAAAAGGAAACCGTAGACTCCGCAGGAAGCTTTGGCAGGAAGCTTTTGCTGTAATTGGTGAAGCGAGAGAGGTCTGATCTGAGCCCCCCAGGCTGCCTCCAACCCCATTGAAACAGGTCCTGCGTGCAGGGTTCTCCAACGAGCCCCATTCAAGCCCACCCTCAAGCGGACTGAAGCGCAGGTCTCCAAGCACCGGACCTTTTCATCCGATTGAAATGCAAGGACCTGGAGCAATCTGATGTTTGATTGATCATGCTACCCTCCCTGAAACAATCATGGTTACGTGGAATACTGTCCGTTTTTTTTGGAAAACCGTTTTCCAAGGGGCCATGTTCCACTTCCATGTTTGTTGGATGGAGGGTATATCATGCTTGATCCTGAGGGTGTGGATCAACAATTATCAATGTCTCTAACCCCCAGCTGGCATCTCTGAACTGTAACTTCGTATGTAGCACAATGTAACACGGTTGCCCCAGCCACACCCCACATCATCAGTTAAGGTTGTAAATCCAATCTTGATGAGGGCCTGCGAAGCATCATTCAGGAAGCCTGAAGGGAGCGAGTCAACTCGCAACAAGACCACGCAGGTCCAAAGCCAAGGATGCGGCAAAAGTGCGCAACATTCGCCAGGCGTGCAACTCCACCAAAGATTCCAAAAGGATTGGAATTCATGCCTTCAACCTAAATCAATCACCGCCACTGACTGCAAATAACTGAGCGTTCAGAATACGAATGGGCTGCATGAAATCTCTACTCGTTCCAGTGTGTTCTGATTGGTGCATCAGTGCCACCGGTGGCAACAGTTTGCTAGGGCTCCTGCAGGTAACAGCTTATTTATCTCTTGAGCGCTACCATGAAGGCCGTTCTTGATGTGGGGCCTCCTATGGTGGTTCCAGTGCCATGTTCCAAAATGTTCCAAACACTGGTCCATACGCAAATCGGCACCGGTGCCCGAAAAAGCCATTGGTTTAAAGTGGTGGTTCTTCCGGCTTTCGCTATGGCAGAATGGTAGGCGGTGCCCGACTCAAACTGGACTACCCAAACCTTTCCAAGTCAGACAAAAGAAGTTGGAAACAGATAGAAAAGGTGTCTGGTTTTGGGTTTCAGCGAGATATTTGATTGATGGATGTTGGGTGTTCCTGATCTTTAGCGGCATGCTTGTGGCTGTGCAGAGGCCGCGCTGATGTGAACATGTGCTGAGAAAGTACTGATGCTGTGAAACATCTGCCAACAGCACCACACAGCCGGAACTAAGGCGCGAGCACAAGCCTCGCAGCGAGTGGCGAGAAGATGCGGATGCTTAGAGCTGGTGTGGATGATGGCAAAACAAGGCCAACAAAATTTACAGAAGGGAACTTGTTGCTAGTAGCTTCTTGTTACTAGTAGAAATGCACTTGTTACTAGTAGCGATGCACTTGTTACTAGGAGGATATCTGGCCTCAACCCCCAAAGCACAAAGCACAGGAATCCCTCCAATGCTTTTCATCCAAAGCTGGAGCGCTGGGAGCCTGGAATCCAGCCTCTCTTGCTGGCACCGCTTCCAACAGCGCCTTGGTGAAACACACTGCAGAAGCACCGCGCCGGTTCCCGCGCACGATGCGCCCCGCGAGCGGTTTTTGCGCGCCGGGCGCTGAGGGCCACGGCAGAACCTGCGCCCATGAAGACCGACCAGCTCAATCCATCTCCGTGGGCTCCAAACATCAGCCTGGGAAGCTGCAAGCGACTGCACGCTCCCGAGGCGTTCAGTTACGTGCAGGATTGTACACCGACCTGTGTACGCAGGTAAATGATAGATAGATGCCTTTGGATTGGAGTTTTACTGCCAGCCTCACGCGTGCAGCCAATCGTAACTGCTCCAGCCAAGTCAGCTCGGCCAAATCAGCCACTTCCACAGCGCTCACCAGAGCCTACCGACGAGTCAGCGAGCGCGATGGAATCACTGGAGGTCAATCTTCCTCGGATTCCGCACGGGATGGTCCGCCATCCAGGTTGTCGCGGTTGCATGCACATCCGCGAAATTGTCAATCCTCCAAATTGCGCGCATGGCGTGATCGGTGTGCATCATTTTGAGCATTGCGCTTTTTACGCACCGCCCCACCAACCATCAAAAACCTGAGTTTTTCCCCAGCCTAAAAGATGGCTTTTGGGTATGTGAACATATGTATTTTTCATGGTGTTCAGAGCCGCTGGCAGCCACCTGTCAGCCGTCTCAAGGCATTTCAAGGGAACCTCCGCCAGTGCGCCATGGACGAGGTCTTGCCGAGTGGCCATCGTCCCCAGGCACTGCTATTCCGCCGCTCCACCAGCAAAAGACGTGGCACGGACGCTGCAATCTCCTGCACATCATTCTCGGCAGTCCCATTTTCATCATTTTCCATTCGAGGTCCCATTTTTCTCTTCAAATGTCCAGCTCAGCTATGGGAGTCTATGGACATCCGCTGGTGGATTAGAAGCTTTGTGTACATGTCTCTCTTCGTTGGGTGCTTCCGCAAGGTGCTTCCGCAAGATCGCGAGCTTTCGCAGGACCCTGCATGCTCTTCTGCGCAGTTACGCCACATGAATGAGTTCGAGCTTTGACGTGTCATTTGGCAAATCTTGAAGAAAAAAAATTGTGGTCCTGAACTCCACCTCCAGCCCCTTCGCCCGACCTGCGAAATCATCCCCATGCTCCGAGCAGCATGGACAAATCCTGACCTAGGCGATGGATTTAGTCCCAGGGGCGATCCCATGGGCGTCACTGGGCCCCAAGGTCAAAGCATATGAGTCTCACTGGCCCAGCCGCCACCAGAATACAGCATCAGCTCATGCCCCCAAATCGCCCGTTCGTAGCAGCGCCCTGCGAGCGAGCGATTGAACGGCGTGTGGGTGGCTAGTGAAAACATCAATGAAAAATACAACTCGGATTGCAAAACACAGCCAGTGATCTCTCTATCCCTCTCTCTTTCTCTCTCCATGGGTCACACTGACCAACAGCCCAGCAGTGAAAGTGCGCTGTGTGCTTGAAAAGTGCGTTTCCCATGCAGCAGCTTGCTTTGGTTTCCTTAGATCTTTTTGGTGGACGTGAGCAAAAAAAGGGCTTCATATGAGAAGTTCGCCTACGCAAACCTCACACATCGTCTCACGCCGGGCGTACGCGGAATTCGTGTCGTCGGCCACCCAACCCTTGCAGACATGGCCTTGAGAGATGGAGTCCCCAACCCTTTTCTGGAGTGGCAGTGCAACTAGAAGACTCAAAATTGCTTACGCACCTCTTACGCATCGAGCGTCCTAACCTGGGCTTCCACCAAACCTTACGCAACCCTTACGCCGTGCAGACTTTAGCAGTTTAATCGGATCATGTGGTTCTTTCATAGAGGTGTCACTCACGTGCATTCTGGGGGCTGGGGCATGTCTTCAAACGAGGCCGTTTCATCGAACGAAAACAGGTTGGGCAAATAGTGTGATATATATGTATAATATATATATATAGTACTTATATGATATGTACTATACTTATTGATTTATATTACTGTGGATATGTGTGGGCAATCTGGGAAGCACTTGACCAATATAAAAACTTGTCCATGTTCTTTGTGGTTGTCCGCTACTCCTGTTCCACGTGACCCTTGGCGGGTGACACAGTCACCGTGCATCAAGTGCTCGCCCAGTGGAAGGGTCATTGCAGCTCAGGGTGTGAGGGGTCAGCTGTTTCATGCTGTTTCATCATGAAGCCTTCTGGGAAGCCCCTCCCAGTCCCTTGTGTCTCATTTCTAGTGTGGTTCTCTCCCTGGAAACCACGCTCCACTCTTTCTTCCAAGAATTTCCTCAACTGAAGGGCATTTGGATCGGCTGATCCACTCCGTGGCCGCCCATCTGGTCGGCCAGTCGCCTTCTGCAGCGATCAGCTCGGGCTCGATTCTCGATCGACTTCGCTGCCTGGGACGTCTGCCAACATGTTGTACGGCCTGTGGCTGATGAGCCTTGGCACAGGCTGGGCCTGTAGCAGGCTGGGCGAAAAAGGACGAAGTAATAGTGCCCATGGCCCAACCCCATGCAGTCGAGGGACTGGAGCAAGAAATCCAGGCCGCCCATGGATTTGTTTTCAGACTTGGTGCGTACTTCATCGAACCCAAAAGGTTTTTTAATGTTTTGTGTATGCCAGAAGACTTCAAAGACCATTTGGCTCCCAAAGAGATTCATTTGAGGCCGCCGCGCTGCCACGAAAGACTTTCTGCCAAATGTGTCTATCCTTGTCCAGGTCTTGGTCTACGAGGAGGAGATCAAACTCACCTCGACCATCGCTCACAAACCCCCCAACATCTCCCCCCCTTAAAAAGGAATATCGCCAGCTTCAAGCTGCAAAGGTCCGGCCTGTGGGACTGTACCAACCAATTCTGCAACCAAATTGATCATTTAGAGGTTCCCTTCATGGCGATCACCCCGGCGATCGTTTGTGTTTCGCGCCTGCCAGCGTCCGAAGGCCATAGAAATCGTCCATGTGCGCTTGGGCAAAGGCCGGCACGAGTGAGTGCAACATGTGCCACGGACTCCTCCAACCATTCGGTTGATGAAAGACGTGGAAACATCTGCATGATCCTTTAGCAGAACTGAAGCCTCACATTGGATGGTACTATGTCAGGTGTATGTGTCGTCGACTGCGAGCTGTCCTCAATCGCAGTGTGACTGGCAAAATGAAGGCTGCCCTGGACTCACCTTCATAGACAAACTTATGGAACCCTCTTCAAGCAAACATGTTCACCATCTTGAACCTTTTTCATCCTGAAAACTGAAAACTGCCGCAAGTCACACACATGGTACTAACAGCGCCTTTGTGATTCAAGTTGCTGTTGAAGGGAGCCGAGAGCCACTTCAGTGGATAGAGGGTGGTGCCCATTTCGGAGCATGCCTCGCGCGTTTTCACGCGACGCGAACCGCGAGGCGAGCACACCATGGGTCCAGGAACCCAGTGGCGTACCCTACCAGAAGTCAGCCTTGATCATGGAAGGAAAGTCCGGGCCCGACAAGCAGGCGCTGTTGGGATGGAAGGCCTGAGGTGTGGATCAACTCTTGATGGTTGATTCATGTTGATTCTATTTCTTTCGATCTTGCTCTCATCACTGACTCAGGGTTCCTGCGCCTGCAGCTCGCCATGGGTGATGCAAATGGGCGAAAGCTCTAAGGAGCACAGGTCACTGTTGAAGGTGGAGACCTGGCTGCACCGCTGCTCAGCCGGGCAAACCTGTCAGCGGACGTGTGAGTTGTTTTCTCGTAAATCCTTGTCTGTTGGCATGTTCATGTGCAATCATGTGCACGGAGCGCCGAAAAAGATACAGTACCCCCAAAGTCCCCAACGGTGGAGAAAAAAAAACCTCTGTAAATCCTGAGCCCCGCTAGGTCGATGCAATGTTTGCTGTGACACAACACACGCCTCCGGCCTCCGGATTCTTTGGGCAACCCTCTCTCCTGTGAACACAGCGGTGAAGGCGCTTGCTACAAACCTCATCAGCCAATGCATGATGAATCGTGGCGCCAAGCACATTCACTGGCTACGTAGAATCTTAGATTCTGGCAAACAAATTGCCATGCAAAATAGGAGCGCGCAGAGCATGTGGGTTCAACAGCGCGACAGGTGAAGGACAGCATGGCTGTGCAAGTAGGTGCGCAACAGGTTTATGGGCATGTATCAGAAGGGCCAACACAACACGTAGTGACGTAGTTACATGGCAAAGAAATTACATGTCTGCGTGTGATTGTGTGTGTGCATTCCAAAGTGCATAAAGCATCATAAAAAGTATCATACAGGATCCAAAAAAAATGCCCCCAAAACAAAAAAACGACTGAATTCCATGACCAAAATTCCATGCGATTCCAGATCCTGAGCTTCCAACATGATCTGGCAAGCCTTCACATCCAAGATCGTCCATGCAGGTCCTGCCGGTCCGTGTCGTCCAGAAGTCCCGCCGGTCCGTGAGTCCCGAGCCGAAGCAAACGAAGCACGTGCGTCTCCTGGTGGGCTGCCACAGTAGATCTTCAAGAAGCTCAGCCTGAGCACAAAAAGAGGCACTCACTAGTAGCGAGGACGCTACTTATATATAAAGGCCATCGCTATTAGGTTGGAGGCCATCGCTACTAGTGGTAAGAAGCTACATGAAGCTACTAGTAGCAAGAAGCGACAAAAAAGCCACTTCCTTGACGTCTGAGCACACCACAGTCTGGAAGTAATACGACACCGCCCGATAAAACCGTATGTAGTTTGAGTGAACCTGAATTGGCGAAGCGCGAGAGTCCGATTCACACAGTGTCCCTCGCGTCCTCGCGGCGGCGTTTTTCGCCCAAAAACGGGGCAAGACTGCCGTGCTGGCATTTTTCCGCTGCCAGAAGACCAATGGACGCTAAGTTCTCCCTGAAATCATCGCGGTTTCCCCCCAAAAATGACCATCTTCCTTTACGTGATGGTCCACCGTCGATGGTTTCAGGGAGTGTACTTGACAGTTCCCTGAGTGGATCGCATCAAAGGTGGAGATAGGCCACCGGGGTTGAGCATGAGGCTCCAAACCTCCACAGAAATCCGCGCAGAACACTGCAGACATCTGAGCGTCGATCAAAGAGGACTGGTGAACCGCTGCAGATGCGCCGAACACTGCAGCTCGCACTTTTGGGACACCTTCTCAGACTTCACATACCCAGCATTTGGGTAAGAAAAAGCTATCTACTTTGTAGAGCTGCATTTGTGAAAAGCCTGGCCAATGGTCCTGCAGCTAGCTTCCAGCGCAGAATCAGGGTGAAACATAAACTATGGCATGCTGAGCTCACGTGTTGCATCAGCTTCCGTGATCAGTCACCATCAGTCGACAGCATCTAAGTCCTGCTCGAGCTTCTTCAATTCCTTAAGCCGCTCCTGCAAGATGGCATCTGCTTCGTCTTCTGATTCAGATTCCTCTATCATAGGCTCCTTAGGACAAACAAACGTGACCGGAGCTTGGATCGGGCTTCAAGCCCTCCGAATGAAAGAGAGGCATTGTTCTAAGACACTGATTTCTAAGCAACAATCTGCCATCAACAACAAAACATAACAAAGCTATTTACAAAACTACAAACATGTCAATCTCTTATGGCTTCTACCGAGCAGCTGGTGAATCCCGTACTGGTTCCACTAAGGTAGGCGGAGGCTGAAGAATCTGTGTGAAAATCGAGCAGACGCGCTGCATGATTCCAGGCGGTTTTTCTTCATGCTGTGCAGTTTCTGCCTCGGCAGCTTTGGCTGGAGTGGCTAAGCAGACAGGGTCACGCCTGGCCGATTCTCGCTTTTCAGGGCGTTCCATCGCTGCTAAGCTCCGAAGCTCTTCCACCAAGGTCGACTTGAGCTTGCTGGCATGTTTCTGGATGAGCTCCTTCAGTGCTTTCAGGCGAAAGGTGAAAATCATCCGGTCCAGCTGAGCCCACGTCATCCTCTCTAAGATCTTCTGCCGGATCAAGGCATCATCTTCGGGGTTCTTGCACTCCGCCTGTTCGGTGCGTGCCTGCAGCATCTCCGACAGGTTCCCCGCACGGGAATTCACGTAGGCCACGGAGCACGCGATCCGCACGGGGGTCTCGGTCCGAACAGCTTCAGCGATCTCATAGACACACCACAGCCTACTATAAATTTCTGCTTTGGGTGGCGAGGTATGTACTACGACCATGCCAAGGCAAGAAGAGACATGTCGAACCACCACACCAAAGGGATCTAGGGCCAGCTGTTCAGCCACGCTGGGACCAACGTCGCCCTCTTCATCTCCAGCTTGGTACTGCGAAAAGGCACAAAACCACATCACCGTCTCCGAGGAAATGTTGTGCTGAACTCGATGTTCCTCAAGAGCCTCCCTGCATTCCTCTATATCTTCGGCCCAGCAATGGGAAACCATCAGCTCTGCAGCCAAAGCTTCCACAGGGTTCATTCTCAATGCAATGCTGCAACCCGTATGGCGAGTCCAATTGATCAGCAAGCCTCCATATGGAGGAAGTCCTCCATTGAGGGCATAGAGGTTTACATATCCCCTGGCTTTCTTGGCTTGATCCCACAAAATGGTCACAGCACATGCATCCAGAAACTCTGCAAACTGCGCACATCGCATGCCCCACTTGACAGGTGGGACTTGACGATTGCTCCAGCGGGCTGGAGGTAAACAGCTGGGAACGTCATCCATGGCAGGTAAGGTCATCTCGGGATTGGCATCATCCGCGCTGAAAGGATCCATAGAGCCGGTCGGCGCGGTTGGCTCGATGAGTGGTCCCAGGCATTTGCTGTCATGCTGTCCAGTTTTGGCGCAGCCTCGACAGCAAGACTTAAATCCTCTTGGGCAGCGGCACCCACAGCCCTTCCAGCACAGCCGCTCACTCATGGCGTGAGTCCGGCAGAGTCGCCATGCGCCCCAAGTTAGAACCCCAACCAGTGGAATTCTTGTAGAGTCATGTAACCCGATGTCGGATGTAGCTGAACATCAAGCAACCACAAGTCAAGAATGCATGGTAATACTGACGTGTCGGGACTCGTTTTCTTGGGCCCGTCTCGTTGTGCTTTGCGGCCCCGGCATGTGCGATATTCAGATTAGTCCAAGATCTTTCACTGAAACCACTCCAACCAACCAGCCCGCCTCACCCGCGCTACAATGCAAAGCATGGTGGTACGTAATGGATTGTAAAGGACTACTTATGCATGAGTCACTTAGCCTCAAAAAAGCCGCTTGTCAGCAATTCATCCCTCCCACGACAGCACTCTGAGACCGCTACATTCTTCGGCAAAAGGAAGAACCGCCAAAGCTTCCACCAAGTGGTCTTGCGCATCCTGGTATTGCCTCAACAAATGCGACGAAGGAAAAACATTGTTTGCGCCGCACCGGGCCGCGCGGCCGCGCTGCTTTTGGCATGCTCCTTTTCGCAGCTCTTGGGCCCCCGGGCAATCGTAGCAGCTTCCTCTGTGCCTCCGCGGGTTTTCTCGTCTGAACACACGACCGGACCGGTGGTGAAAACGAAATCCGCTGCAGAACCACCCCGCGGCAGAACCCCGCCAGTGGTGCAGAACCGGTGCCGGCGAGGCACACACAGCACGTGTAGAAGCGTCACGCCAGGGGCACCTGACCGACGCGGCGCTCTCAGCCGGGACGACGGAGCCCGGAGCAAACCCGCTGGGAGGCGCAGTCGGACAAGGCGGCCATGCCCCGGAAGCGCGTGGGCGGCAGCTCTGGGCAGGGAAACTCACGTATCCTGAGATTGCGCAAGGCTCGAGGGTGCAGCAATTCAGGTGGGTCGAGACCAGGGTAAGTATGGCCAAACAAGGGGCCTTCAATGGCTTTCATCGAGACCTGCGCAACTTCAGCCGGGCATCCAATGATGAGCTGGGTCTGAGAGGTTTAACCTGCTCATGGTGTCAACCTATGAGCGTGCTTTTTGAACGTGGCGCATCTCAGCTCAGCACACTCTGGAGGAGAAGTCTGGGGTAAGTGCCTGAACGGGTGCACTTCAGGCTGATTCAGGCTTCCAAATGTTCATGATACGCTGTGATACGCTGTGCCATGTTTGCATGATTTGACATGGCAATGCAGGAACTACCGGTTTCTCAGGGGGGACATGGTGTCGATGTGCAGCCAGGTGTCCCTGCAAAATGGACGGAGTTGGATCAATCCCCATTCGTTACAAACAGCAAAGCACAAGCGATATGGGGGCCAGAGATATGACGAAGATTGACCAACTGGAAGAAAAATCAATGGCCAAACACCTCATGCAACTCATACACCCGCAAATGCCTCTCTCTCTCTGTATATATATATATATACACATGCATCAAATCCGAGATACCCAGTTATCAATGGGTGTGGCATGGCGCAGAAGAGCAAGCTCAAAGGACCATCCCCCAAGACCTGTTTCACTTCAAGACCGCTGGATCAAAAACCAAAACGGACCAAAACGCCGCGTCACCCGCACAAAAAACATCCAACAAACGCACCTTCCATGCGGTCTGCCGCAGGAGGTCCCAGTGGGAGCCCAGGTCTGAACACGCGCAGGCCACAGGCCTCGCTTTATGGCACGAAACACGACACCAAAAGTGTCTGGCGTGAAACCGAGACGCGGACACCATGGGGCCTGGCACGAGTGTTCATGAGGTATACAGTCGGTATGAGGATCACAGTTGGGAAAAAATATGTTGGATTATATATATATATATTAATATGCTACAGTGTGGTATAACACTGTAATTACAAATGGCTCCAGTTGGGAGAAGAGTCAGAATAATGGACGTGATATAGGTATATATCGGTGTAAAATGGTTCCATAATTCTCCCAACTGCTCCATGGTGAACATGGCAACACAAAAATGGCACAGCTACCGACGCAAGAGTTAGAACTGCTCTTCTCATCTTCAGCAGCCCATGCTTTGGGCAGTGCTGTCCTCGTCTCCTCAGTGAGATCTGCAGCTTCTCCTGTACCCTCACCTTGGGCTGTCTCTTGAATTTCAGGTAGTATACGGCTACATCGTCTTTCTCGCCCGTGCGCTTGGCTTGTACCACCTTTTCCCGCTGCAGTGACCTGTATTTGGCGAAACGTGACCTGTTTGCTGGGCCTTCTCGGAGGTTTCTGTCCTCTCATTGGGCCGAGCAGCAACTGTATGAACTTTCAATGATTTTTCCGGGTGCCAGCCGCAACCGCAGCGCTGGCACTTGACATGGACTTCGAAGCTTCGCGGCTTCCACCTCAGCCTTTCCAGCCATCTCCTTCGCCTTTCACTTGCGAGAAGGGAGATCAGACTCGTCTGATCTGGCAACTCCTTCTTTCTTCACCCCTTGCGACGAGACGCGCAACATCATCCATCACCTGATCCAAATTGGTGGCCACGCACAGAACACGCGACGTTTGAAGCTGCACCCTGTTCTTATTGATCTTATTGAGTTGGGACAAGCGAAGAAGGGGCCGCAAATGCTTGAGCCATCTCTGTCGGACGCTGTCTCTACCTACCTCTCTGCATCTCTCTGCCAATCTGTCTCTCTCGCAAGATTGCCCCCCCAACCCCAGCTCCAGGCCTTCCACTGTTCCGAGCGAATAGCCATGAAGTGGGATGTCATGAGAGGAGATGGAACGGAGATCGGCCATGGGATTTTTGTGGACTCACTGAGAGTGGATGGGTCCCACCTCAACAAGGGAGCTTTCCTGGAAGATATTGATGTCCTATATACTGAGAAAAAAAATCTGGCTGACGAGACAAATGTCCTGCGTTTCCTCCTGCAAAATCTGAGCAAACCACCTGCATTACGGAACCAACCTTTTGGGGAAACTGACGAGAAGCTGGACCAATAGGAGAACCCCTGCCAGTATAGGGCACATATTGCCACCTGTTACCACTGTGGCCGTCCAAATCTTACCACCATACCTGTTCAGCATATCTTCGGCCTATTGGCGGGTTCTTCGCTATACAAGTCCATTCTTCTCATGCTGGCATGCACTCTTTTTGCGGAGTGAGAAGCTTGACAGCTTCGGTCTACCCATTTTGAGCTAGCAGCTGCATCATGTTTAACATGCGCAAAGGTGACGGCCGGCATCACAGTGTCTGGTGCTTTGTCTCCTTGTCAAACTACTGTGCATCACTTTGTGCATTTCCACGCTGGCGACGGTGCGATCGGCACAAAGCACCGATGGCACATCGGCGAGCAAACTGGTGGCCACTACCAGTTAACCCCTCATTTAATAGCTTCCTGTTACTATAGTAGTAAGAATGCTCCTAGTAGTACGGCCAGCCCCTTCTCGTAGCGTCCGACCGCTCCGTACACTGCGCCTTCCCAAAGGTGAAAGGTCGATGCAAAAGGAGATGCGGTTGGCTGGAACCTGCGCATCGGCCCAGCGGCGCTGGAGGCGTTTCGGTCGGCTGAGGGCGAAAACGCGAAGAAGACCAGGCCTTCAGGACTCGCAGTCCTCAATCGACCGAGTGACCAATTGGTGGTGCAAGCAAAACGCACACACACACACCAAAAATGGATTGTTTTTACTTACTTGATCTTACTTGCTCAAACTCTTGCCCGTAAGGAAGTTCAACTTTTGAATCTGTGCCATGTGCATGCGCAGTGCTCTGCCGAGCGGCCTTAAGTTTCAATTGGGAAGAAGAGACTGGCAAGAAGAGATTGCGAACAAGAGACTGGGAAGAAGAGACTGGGAAGAAGAGAATAGGAAGAGGAGAATCGGAAGAAGAGAATGGAAAAAAGAGAGTGGGAAGAAGAGAATGGGAGGACGAGAAAGGGAAGAGGAGAATGGGAAGAAAAGAATTGGAAGAAGAGCAGCTTGAGAAAACAAGCAACTGCAAAAAAAACAAAAAACTTTGAAAAACACATATATATATATATATTTGGAGAAAACCTGGTCAGAAGGTGGCATGACAGGAAGATTTGCTGCATATGTTATTTGTGTGTTGTTGTTTTTGGTTTTCAGAATGCAAATGCAAATGGTCCATGTTTCGTGAAGGCAACAAAAAGTATGGTTTGCCTAAGTAGTCGCCAGCGCCTTTGCAAGCACAAAACCATGCTATTGGCTGTGTTTTGTACAAGTAGGGTGGGGAAAGTGAAATTCACTCCCCCCACGGCATCCCTTCTGTTCTTTTTCAGCAAGGAAGATTACTTACGGCCCTTCCTGAGGGTGAACAGGTCTTCCTCGCACCGTGTTTCCCTCGCAGTCTTAAGAGCACCCAAACAAAAAATGTGAACAAAGGCGTGCGTCACCAGGATTTTTTACCGTTCCTGAACCAAAAGGGGTTGCTCCCTGGTTTTGAGGCCACGGCCCAGCTTGCTGGACACGGTGCCCAAGCGTTCCTCAAACCACTTGGCGTTCTCCTTTCGCTCTTGTAGGAGCCCCGTCCACCCTGGAGCGCCCAAGGACCTAAGCACGAGTTTCATCGAGTGGGCCACGTCAGAAAGGGCACCAAAGCACGAAGAAAGCGATAGATGATATAGGCTATGGCCTACCCAAAAATAGAGGCCATCTACGGCCACCGGAAAAATGGAATTAGATTTTTCTGATCATATAATCTGTATATGATGATTATATGATTGTAAATCATTATATTTCATTATTTATGCTCAAACCATCTGGGCCACATTGGCTGATGGCCATGCTCAAATTGTGTCGAAAGCTTCAGTCTCCAACAGCAAGGTGATGAACAGGTCCAACCTCAGTCAGAGGTCACTTCAACGTGCTGGCGGCGTTTTCATGCCGTATCGCCTTCCTCTCTTCTGAAAGCAAACTGAGCCTTGGGACACAGGACTCATCGATGCCCTGCCCGGATAAAGCCCAGAGACCTCACCGAGCAACAGCGAGCGTGTGCCGAACACGGCGTCGAAACCGGGCGTCGTCTGACCCGCGCCTTGTCCACCAGGGCTGCAGAAGGAGCTGCCACAATGGCACCACCCACGGGGACCATGAAATTCTTGTCCGTGCTCTGCACCTAAACGTCCACGGGCGCGTGGAATGGCCCGGTGACCGGCGGGGATGCGACCCCCACCAATTGGGCTTCCCCGCAAAGGCGTCGACGCGACCACGGCGGCAGCCAGTCTGTCCACAGTAGCCACTCTGAGATCTCTGTCAATCGACCTGTCGCTACTCTTCGATGCTGCCTCAACCAAATGGGCGCACTTGGAACACTGCAGGCCATACCTCGAGATCAGCCCAATGAGATCCAATGAGCTAAAAAAACGAGGAGATAAGAAAACAAGAACCCCGCGAGTTTGGTGTTTTTTTCCTTCGGGATGCTGCCTTTCATTCTCTATCTTTGATGGCAACTCACTTGATCAGATCTGTCATGCGTGATGTCTTGGGGCCCCCTGACGCATTGTTGATCACATGCGGCCTCGCTCAAGGCTCGACTCGCGACTTCAGTCAGTGGGGGCGGACGCTCCGGTGAACTGAGGACATCACACCTGCAATTCCTGTGCCATCACTGCGACCTCATCGATGAAATCTGGCACCCTCGGCCTTGGAATACAACGCCGGAGACCTCCGGACACGGACGTCGATCTGGCACCATGTCGACAAGCGCAGGCACGCGAAGGTGGAGGTGGTGGTGCAGATGCAAAGGACCTCCGGCCAACGACATCCCCAGCCCCAGCTGTGGGGCATTGTGAAAGTGTTGCCTATTTTTGGGGGTGGCTCCCACTTTCAATGAATAATGAAAAGAACTCAAACCAAAAATCAGCAAGCCCAAAAGAGACTCTATATATATATATATACATATGTGTATCCATATATATATATATATCCTGAGGGTTCCCAAGCAAATTCTCAACGCAAAATCAATGCTGTGACATGCAACTGGGGAGCTTCTTGACACTACAAGGGCAGCAAGCGAACCCCCAAAAAAGTACAGTGTACGTGCAAGAAAGGAAAACAATGGAAAACATGAATTAAGACAAAAAGAAAAATGACGTTTTCGACACCAACTGTACCTTTGTCCAGTCAGTACGCCACTCCGGTACCGCCTCATCAGCTCCAACCTGTTCAATGGCACTGCGCATGCCTTCGAGGTCGGTCCCCAAAGCATCAGTGCCTGGAGTGCCGCTTGGCACACGGATGGGACTTCGATTCGACCGCATGGATCGGCAAACGTTCTAACATTTTAAGAGGGAGAGAAGAAAGAGAGAGAGAGAGAGAGAGAGAGAGATACACATGGTACCCCCACCCCCCGTGCCTACCTATGCTTTCATAGTACAGTGTTTTTGTGCTGCTTTTGTATTTGCAGGCCATTGTTGTGTTTTGTGATTGTTTGACTGGAACCAAGAACCAAGATTGCACAGAAAGTCTTGGGGAAATTTTGGTTCTTGGTTCCAGGAAGGTCTTAAGTGTTTTAAGTGTATAAAAAACCTTAGGGATTGTTCTCATCAGAACCAAGATGTTCTCCAAGACTTTCTGTGCAATCTTCAATCTTAGTTATTGGTTCCATGTACTTCCTGATTTCCCAATACTACTTCACTCACCTCCCATCGTCTCTACAGAGGTCGGCAAGAGAAGGCGGTGAGGAGGCATTGTAGAGGCTAAGGGGGCTAGTGAACACAGAAGGTTTAGGGGGTATGGTATCAAGCGAAAACATTTACTGTAACAATACGGTACAGCTGGTGCATCAATGGATTTGAAAGAGTTTGGCAAGCGAGCACTACAAACAGCATAGAACACGTTATGCTGAAGAAAGGAATGTTGCAAACAAGGGAAAGGTAGAAGAACGATTGGGATTGAGAAATGCCTATTGGAGCCGTTCAGGATTACACAAGACAGGTCAGACGCGTTTTATGTCAGGCAAGATAAATGTTTGGAAAGAGATGTATATTTGATGACTTACTTGTGTAATATACCAGATTGGTGTATCATTCAATATCATTCATTGGGGTCAGCAGCTGTCAACAAAATCAATGATGAACATTCTAACGCAGTGGAAGGGAAGGGGCAAACAAGACCCAAGAAGGTTAGATTTCAGAAACAAAATGATATTGTTTCTGCATTGGGTGGCCACGCTGAAACTCAAGATGTTAATGAATGGAACCTAGTCGTTGCACACACATATAAATTATTTGAGGGTCAGGGATTGTATAATATAAACCCTGACTCCGGCACCAATATCTCACAAGGCATTTTATAGCCCTAATCAAGAGAATCTACAGAGAAGTAATACTGTTTTACGAAGTTGTTTACAATAAACCATCATAAATTTCACTAATCAAATAAAAGGTGGTCATGACAAGGTAGAAAAAAAAATGAATAAGTCACCAAGTGATTATGATGGGATAAAGGAACTATAGAACAACAACTTCCCAATAACATAGTCATATAAGACATAGTCATAATAAGCGTAATATAATATATATATACGTCTAAAATGAATGTTCATTGGAGTTCACATTCAAAAGAATAATAGAAACAGAAGTGGGCAATTTAGTAGCCGAAGCAAAACACACAACGGTAAACACTTTAAACGTTCGATTACCTGAAGCGGTTTGCGAATTGTGTACAATCCACATGCGGGAAACAATAACATCAGATTTTACATTTATAGGTGAAGACAACACAGGTTTAGATTTAAACACTGCAAATACTGACACAAATGGAGACATAACACATTTTGGATGCATGTGTGGGGGCCGTAACAACCACAAGTGATAGGAATGATGGGGCAAAGTAGACAAGAGGTACGCAAAACACACATTAACTTGTCTGCTGGTGAAGCTTATGCCTTAACATTTGCCATGAGAGGTAGGTACTGTGGCGGGGGTAGCATATATGTTTCTATTGTTTTCGGATGCTTTTGTCTGACTGATGTTCTTTCGGTCCCAAAGGTCATCAACTGAATGTTCTACATTCTACATAATTTCTCTTGCACACTTGGAGTGCGAGCATGTTCTGTGGCATGCGAGGCTAGTAACAAGAAGCTACTAGGGGCTCTTGGCATCGCTACTAGGAACAAGGACGCTACTAGGGGCTCCTGGCCTTACTACAGTAACAAGAAGCTACTAGTAGCTAGAAGCTTTCACAGCTTCTTTCAGGTATTTCTTAATAACTCTTTCCCTCGATGCGATGGACCAACTCCATCCACGCGGTCTCCGCCTTCGATAGGCTTCAGCTCAACGACAATGGGCTTTAGACCAGCTGCTCCAATCGCCTGACCATAGGCAGCTGCTGCCGACAACAAGGCAATGAAGTCGACAATAGGATCACTCATTATGTTTTTGGCGCTCCCGGGCAGCTTATGGTCATAGACTGCCGTATGTGTAGCATATGTAGAAATACAAAGATACATTTATGAAGGTTTATTTACATGTGTGCGATATGTATTGCAAATTGCAGCCGCTCATTTACATAACATGATACAGTATGATGCAGTATGTTTAATTTGTTCATTTCAACATCCAGGAGCGGAAAAATAATCCGCCGACCCCTGCTTAGCCCTTGCCTAAGCGGGGCGGCGCCAGGGACACCGGAGGGTGGAACGGGTGGCCAGTGCAAACGCAAGCCCCAGCATGCCACGTTAAGCAGCCACCCCCGCCTTCAAAGCCCTACTGCGTCGGCATCACTCCTGCACTGGCCAAACAAAGGCCGCAGCTTGGCTCAGAAAGCTTTTTCTATGCCGCAGCTTGGCCCAGAAAGCTTTTTCTATGGGCTTCCGAAGGCAACGTTAGAGACCCACGGGCCCCGCCCCCAAACCCCTCTCGGCAGCTGGCAGGCCTGCCTCCGTTCCTGCAGGCCGCAGCTTGGCTCAGAAAGCTTTTTCTATGGGCTTCCGAAGGCAACGTTAGAGACCCACGGGCCCCGCCCCCAGACCCCTCTCGGCAGCTGGCAGGCGTGCCTCTTCTCTTGGCCTGTCCCAGGCAACGAAAGCCCCAGCATGCCACGTTAAGCAGCCACCCCCGCCTTCAAAGCCC